CATATAGCATCACACACACACACTTGACAGCCATCGCTCCTCATATGTTTCTATGAAAAGGGGAGGGGAGGTCAGCTCCACAGGGAGGATCCCAGCACTGCACTCATTCTGGGGGGGGGAATGGAAGCTTTGGGGGCCCAATCAGGGTTCACGTAAGTCAGTGGTTCTCAACCTTTTTAATGCCGCAAACCCCCCCCCAACCGGTCGTAAGTCGAGAACTACTCAACTGGTGCAGCACCGTTTGCAGAATGGGACTTTTGGCAGGCTCAGCAGGGCAGAGACAGCCTGGACAATTCCTATTGGCTTTTGAAAGCCAATAGAATTAGACTCTATTCAAGAGAGTCTATTCTATTGGCTTTCAAAAGCCAATAGAATAAAAGGGAGTAGCACAGCTAAGGAAAAGGAGAAAAAAAATGGCGGACTGCATTGTTTGGTAACCCCTGTGAAATGGTCGTTCGACCCCAAATGGGGTCCCGACCCACAGGTTGAGAACCACTGATGTAAGTGATCGTCTAACCATTGTTTGGGCTATTTGGAGAGCTGAAGACAAGAAATCTTCCTCTGCTGTTTACTTCTTTTCATCTTCATCCAGCAGGTGCCACTAGGAAATCCTTTGGCCAGAGTCCTGTTCCAGGATCCAGTCTGGGTCTCTCCTTGGGACCAGAGTCTTAGTCTTCCGTGTTTTGGGACTCATGCTGGAGCCCATCCTTCTGCCCGTCTTCCAACTTTTTGTCCAAAGTTCTGCTTGTTAAGAGTTTTCTCGGTTAGAAAGTCCTGCAGTTGAGCAGCCCCTGGAAATTATGCAGAGGGGGGAACGCTTTGGCCAAAGGTCCCCTCAGAGGAATCAGGGCAGACTCTCCAAATGCTCCGAGTGCGGGAAATCCTTTGCTCACCGGTCCCTCCTTTTGATCCACCGGAAGCTGCACACGGGGGATGGATCCCATCTGTGTTTTCTTTGTGGGAACTCCTTTCCTGGAATGTGGAGCTTTGCCAAACATCTCAGGAGCCACCCTGGACTGAGGCCTTACAAATGTGCAGAGTGCGGGATGCGTTTTACTAAAGGCTCGGACCTTGCAGCCCATCAGCGAATCCACCAGGGCAAGAGATCTCAGGAATCCTGGAAGCGCTGGGGAAGATTTCCCGGCAGATGGTGTCTTTCTAGGCCTCGGAAGAGCCCAGCTAAAGAGAAGCCCTGCAAGTGTATGCAATGTGGGCAGCGCTTTCCTCACAAACCAGAGCTGCTTAAACATCAACAAATCCACACCGGAGAGAAACCTCATCAATGTCTGGACTGTGGGGAATCTTTCCGTTATATACATTTTTTAAAAAAACATGAGAAAATTCACACCGGACAGAATCCTTATAAATGCTTCGTGTGTGGAAAATATTTTACTCGCAGTTCATCTCTTTGCAGACATAATCAAACGCACGAAAAGGAGGAAAGCAGAACGTGCCCAGAATGTGGTAAATGTTTCTCCAGCAAGTCATACCTGCTGCAACATCAGAGAATTCACACTGGGGAATGTTCACATCAGTGCCCAGAATGTGATAAGCAATTTGTGACTCCTGCTGCACTTCGGAAACACCAAAGGAGGCACACGGGAGAAAAACTCTATAAATGTGAGGTTTGTGGGAAGAGTTTTTTTGAAAAGTCAGCTCTTTTTCAACACCAGACAATCCACACAGGAGAGAAGCCCTATCAGTGCATCGAATGCGGAAAATTTTTTCGTTTGGTATCAGGCCTCAGACTTCATGAGAATGTTCACAGAGGAGAAAAAAAATTCAGATGTTTAGATTGTGGGAGAGCATTTGCTCATTCATTCCAATTTAGACGTCACTGCCAAATACATACAGGAGAGAAACTCTATAAATGCTCGGAGTGTGAGAAATCTTTTCGTTGGAAACAATATCTTCGAGAACACCAGTGGATTCACACAGGAGAGAAGCCTTACAAGTGTGTGCAGTGTGGAAAGAGCTTTACTCGCAACACACAGCTTTCGATCCATGTAAAGCTTCACACAGGAATAAAATACAAAGTGCAGAAAAAGGAAAAGTGTCTAGAATGTGGGAGATGCTTTTCCAGAAAGGCACACCTAATTCGACATCAGAGGCTTCACACCGGAGACAGGCCCTATCAATGCCCAGAATGTGAGAAACGGTTTGTGGAGTCTGCTCAACTCCTGAGACACCAGAGGGGACACATAGGGGAGAAGCCCTATAAATGTGGGGAGTGTGCGAAATGTTTTCTCACAGCAACAATGCTTCGGGTTCATGAGAGAATCCACACGGGGGAGAAGCCGTACAAATGTGGGGAGTGTGCGAAATGTTTTGTCACAGCAGCACTGCTTCGGGTCCATGAGAGAATCCACACGGGGGAGAAGCCGTATAAATGTGGGGAGTGTGGGAAATGTTTTCTCACAGGAACAGTGCTTCGGGTCCATGAGAGAATCCACACGGGGGAGAAGCCGTATAAATGTGGGGAGTGTGGGAAATGCTTTTCCCGAAAAGACCACCTTGGAAAGCATCAAAAGGTCCATACAGGAGTGAAGCCATAAAGACTCATAGAGTGTAGAAATGTTTTGCTCAAGAGGGAGACATCAGAAGAATCAGACTAGAGGAGAGTAAAGGTAAAGAGAACAACTGATTGCAGCGGGATTTACTGTTTCATATTTTTCTTATGTAGAGTTAAAAAATTTAAAGTACCGTATAGTCCAGCGTATAGGGCGACCCAGCATATAAGACGACTCCCAAGTTCAACGCCAAGTCGCATGCCTAGAAAGTCTTATACGCAGGAAATTACCTTATCTCCGGCGCATAAGACGATCGACGCCAAGTCGCATGCCTAGAAAATCATCTTATACGCAGGAAACTACCTTATCTCCGGCGTATAAGACGATCAACGCCGAGTCGCATGCCTAGAAAGTCGTCTTATATGCCGGAAACTACCTTATTTCCAGTGTATAAGATGACTCAGCATATAAGACGATCCCCGAGTTCAGCACCTGTTTCAACACTCTCAAAAGTCATCTTATACACCGGAATATACGGTAGATGAAATGATATTTGGAAATGAACAAGAGACTATTAGGGAGAATTTGAAACTGAACTACTGCTTATGCAAATGGGCATGTAATTACTTGGTTATCCATGATAATCTTGGTATTCTCCAACACTAAAGTTCCAAAACTGCCACACTGTTCCTATCCTCCTTCAACTTTCTCTTCAGTAGAACAGGAATTTCATGGCTACCACCATTCGGATAATAGGATTCTGTTACTCAAGGCTATGTCAATAAAATAAGCATTTCTGGAAATCTTTTGGGTTTTGTTTCCTGACTTAGCCTCCCTTGAAGAGCTGACATCTGTCTTGATCCCGTGATACCATTTTTCTTTCCAAAACAGGCAAGGCAAAGTAACGTTAAATTTAGATCCTACCTCTGGTATTTCTTTGCTACCGCCCAAGCTTTTTCAAACGGTTTATTCATGAACTTGTTTAAAAAATCCAGATTGGGCTAAAGTTCATCTTTGGGGTTTGGTACGTTGTGTATCACAGTACAAAAAAGATGTTCAGACCAGTAAGGGTGCAGAGAAGAGCAACAAAGATGAGTAGACGACTGGAGGCTAAAACATAAGACAAATAGTTGCAGGCACTGGTTATGTCTAGTGAGTCTAACGAAGAGAAAGACTAGGGCTGACAGGAGGGGAGTCTTCCAATAATTGAGAAGGTGTCATGAAGAAGGGGACAACCTATTTTCCAAAGGAAGTGATGGCTGAACAAAAAGTAATGGCTAGAAATTAAGGAGAGATCCACCCTAGAACTAAGGAGAAATTTCCTAATATTTAGAACAATAAGTGCACCAGCTTGTCTCCAAAAGTTGTGAGTACTCCATGGTGAAGGCTTGTCTAGAATGATATAGAATCTCTTGCTTGGGCGGGGGGCGGGGGGGGTTGGGCTAGATTGCTAGAAGACCCCCAAGCTCCTCTTCAACTAAATTATTCTGTAAAGCTTGCTCATTTGTGGCTTCGAAAATTATACAAACCCACCAGTTATACCCCTCGGTCAGCAAACCATGATCAAAGCAAAGCTTATCGGATGGTGTTTCCTCATGCTCTGAGATGCAGAATAGGGAAAAATGTAGACTTAGGTACTAAAGCAGCCAAATCACCGTCCCATACAACCCATGACCCCGGCATGCAACGTGGCTCCATCTGCTTGCGGTTTCCAGCTCCCAGTGCCCCATTTGGGCTCAATACACAAGGAAAGAACCGTCCCTGAGTGGAGACGGAGCTCCGTAGGAAATCACGAAAGGCGAGACAGGGGATCAAACTCGTCCTTTGCACCTCCTGGGAGAAGCAGGGGGGAGGTTTCCTTCGCTTTCGTGGAGGCAGCAACGCCGCCTCTGCTTCAGGGAGACCTGCTGACGAGCCCTGGACGGAGGGCTGGGCTGACTTCCAAGGCTGGGAGTAAACTATGATTAAGCCATGATTAAGGCCGGTCTCTGTCCCTGGAGGAGCCATGCTCGGTTCCATCATCACCGCAGCCTCTTTGGGCTAGGCAGACCCTCCTTATCACGCCCACCTCCCTACTACGCAGCCCATCCTCCACAGCCATCTCAGCCTTGCCAGGTGCCGGATGGGGGGGGGATCCCTCGTCCGAGTCCCCCCCCCAAACTTCGGGGGGAAGCAGGCAACGAGGATCCCCGGCCGCCTCTTCCCAATCCCGGGGAGGAGAGAGGGAAGGAGGGAGGGAAAGGTTCCCAGCCTCTCCAGACTCCGCCCGGCTGTCAAAGAGACGGCTAGCCCGGCGCCCTCCCAGGGGGAAGCGGCGCTTTCCGAACCCCAAAAGTCCGGCCGCTCCACCGGAGGAGGGGAAGAAGGAGGGGCCAGAGCGCCCACTCTCCCGTGGGAGAGGAAATGGAAGCGGAAAGGGCGAGGAGACGCCTCCGAGGCGCCACTCTAGGACGTTCCTCTCGTTCTCCCTAATCCCCCCCCCCCCCCCCAGCTCTGAGGTTCCAGAGCTCCGTTGCGGAGGATTTTCCTTCTCCGCCTTTTTCCCCCTGGCGGCATTTTGGGCGGCGGTGCAACTTCTGGGCGTCCGGCAAGGCTGCTCCTCGACCCCGCTCCGGGCAGTTGGGGCTGCTCCTGCTCTCCCTCGGCCGGCCAGGAGGAAGGTAGCCCCGGGTCCCCGGAGGGTGGCTGAGCCTGCCAGGATCCCGGGTGGATGCAGGGCTGGACGGGGAAAAGGGGGGGCTCGCCCCACGGAGGGAAAGGGGGGGCTTTTCTTTTGAAGGATTTGTGGGGGGGGGGGAATATGGGGCATTGAAAAGAAAGACCCGCCTTCTCCCTTCAATGGGGGGGAGGTTGGTTTAAGGGGGGGGCGTTTAAATTGCTTGAGTTGAGCTCATGTTCTCCCAACCCAGAAAAGATCCACTTTCTTTCTGCTTAATCTAAATAGAGAGGAATGAATATTCTTTGCTTTTATTCTCATTCTTTGTTTTTCTTTTCTTTCTACAAAGCTGGGCAGAATCTGAAAAAAATCATTATTTTCCTTGTTTTGCTGTGAAGAGGCTGTGAGGTGGCAACCCCTTGGTGGGTTTTATCAATCAGAATAGAGCTGGAAGGGACCTTGGAGGTCTTCTAGTCCAACCCCTTCCTCAAGCAGGAGACCCTATACCACTGCACATTGTCCAGTCTCTTCTTAAAAGCCTCCAGTGATGAATAGAATAGAGCTGGAAGGGACCTTGGAGGTCTTCTAATCCAGCCCCCTGCTCAAGCAGGAGACACTATACTATACCATTCCAGACAGATGTCTGTCTAGTCTCTCCTTAAAAGCCTCCAGTGATGAAACATCCACCACTTCTGAAGTGGTGCAACTGTCCTTCACATGTTTTTGTCTCCAGGCCTTTAATAATTTTAGTTGCTTTTAGAAGCTCAAGGAAGTTCTACAAGAGATGAAAGACCAGGACTTACAAATTCTTTGGAGCGATTTTCAAGGGCAGATTTTAATGCATTTTTTTCGTTGCTTATGGGCAAGAGAGACTGATAAGGATTGTGCTTATAGTGGACGCAACCGGCTATTGGACAGAAGATTATGGATACTGAATGAAATACTGGATGCAGTATTCCAGCTGTGGTCTTACTAATTTACTTGCTCTTTATAAAGCTATACTAATCCTTCTTGTGATTTTGATTCTATGAGTCTATTTATACAACCAAGGATTGTGTTAGCTTTTTTGGATGCTTTTGCACACTGATGGTTCATGTTTATGTGATTCTTCTCTTGACTGCAAGGTCCCTCTCACAGTTAACTATTTTTGAGCCAGGTTTCCCCTAATCTGTATTTGCACCTTTGGTTTTTCCTGCCTACGTGTAAAACCTTGCTTTTCTCCACACTAAATTTTATGTTATTGGATAGGGCCCATTGTTCAAGTTTGTCAAGATCTTTTTGGATCCTGAGCTTGTCTTCTGGGGTGTTGGCTATTTCTGCCAGCTTAGTGTCATCTGCAAATTTGATGACTTCCCCTTTTATTCCCTCATCTAAGTCATTTATGAAGATTTTCAGAGTACTGGGCGTAAAACAGAACCTTGTGGTATCCTGCTGCTTACTTCCCTCTATGTAGATGTAATACCATTAAGGACTACTTGTTAAGTACAGTTTGTCAGCTAGTTACAAATCCATCTGATGATGATGCTGTCTGTCCCACATTTGTCTAGCTTACCAAGATGTAGGTTGTTGAATGTCTTGCTGAAATCTAAGTATACTATGCCTACAGCATTTTGCTGGTCTACTAATTTAGTCACTTTGTCAAAGAATGAAATAAGATTGGTTTGGCACAATCTGTTTTTAACAAACCCATGCTGGCTTTTTGTTATAATGTTTTTAGATCTTTGCAGATCGGTTTTTTTCTTTATCTTTTCCAGTATCTTCCCGGGTATTGATATCAGACTGGTTGGTCTGTTGTTTCCTGGGTCTGTTCCCCCCCTCCTTTTTTTTGAAGATGGGATCCATATCAGCTCTTTTCCGATCCTCAGGTAGTTCCCTGCTGCTCCAGGATTTTTGAAAGATATGGTACAATGGTTCTAAGATAACATCTGTCAGCTCCTTCAGAATTCTTGGATGTAATTTATATTCATCAAGACCAGACAGGTGTTCTCTTACCATTTTCCTGCTTATTTTCATTTCTATTTCTAATCTGTCTTTTGCAATTACTGTATTTCCGCCGAAAATAAGACCCAACCCAAAAATAAGCCCTAGCATGATTTTTAGGCGTGCACCTAATATAAGCCCTATCCTAGTTAAGAACCCGTCCACTGCATCCACTGTCTGGTTGCTTGCAGCCACAACAGGACAGGAGGCAGTTAGGCGCAGTGCAATCCTCTAGTTCAGGGCTTTTCAACCAGTGGTACGGGTACCACCTGTGGTACATTGGCACCTGGCAAGTGGTACGCGACCATCCTAGAAAAGTGATAGCGGGCGAGGGGAATGAGCTGAACCAGTGGCAGCACCGCACAAACCTGAGCGAGAGATGGCTGGAGCTGCAGGGCTGTCAGGGCTCAGTGGAAGAGCCAGGATCAGTGCCAGGCTCCAGCTGGAGCTCGGCACTCATGCTGGTACTTCTGCTGAGCCCTGGAAAGCACCAATGAGCTGGAAAGCAGCACTGATCCTGGCGCTTCTGCTGAGCCCAGAAGAAGTGCCGATCAGCTGGAATGTTGCAGCATCCCCAGGGTATTGTGATTTACATTCAGTTATTTGGCAACTGATTCATATTTATGACGGTCACAGTGTCCCAGGGTCATGTGAAGTGACAAACCCTGCTGCAACCAGCCAGCAGACGGGGGGAATAAAAACCAAACCCCCATCCCACCCCACCCTCGCTATTTTTTTGGGGGGGGGTCATCAAGTTTTTGACACCTTGCTAGGCGACTGGTGGTACTCGGATATTGCCATATCCTAAAAATGATACAATGGGTGAAGAGGTTGAAAAGCCATGATCTAGTTCTCGCCTCTGCCTTTTGGATGGCAATATTGTCAGCTAAGTTGGTTAGGAATCTGTTAGATCTCCCATTTGCTACAGAGTTGTTCCTCTCAATTGATATCAGTATACTTAAAGTCTCCCATTACTACTGTGTTATATTTCCTACATACATTTATTAATTGATTAGTAAAGTGTTCATCTATTTCGTTTGCTTGGTTGGGCCTGTACTATATGCCTATACTAAAGTCATTTTTTCCCCTTTTATATTGACACATATGGGTTCTAGGAGGTTTTCATCCTTCGTTTTCTAGAGATGTAGTGATCTTTTTACATATAATGCAACTCCATCTCGGTTTTTGCTAGGTCTGTTTCTTTTGAAAAGTTTTCATCTTTCCATCACTATATTCTAGTCATGAGTTTCATCCCACCAAGTTTCAGTAATGGCAACTATATGATATCAGCCTTCACGTACTAATACTTCAGGTTCACACTATTTGATCCCTAAATTTTGAGCGTTAATGTATTGCTAGTTTAACCATGGTTTCTGGTGCTGCTGCCCTTGGTGAAGTGACTCGAGTGGTTGGGTGGATGCAACACAGGAAGCCGAAAGAAACTGGCTGACGTTGAAGCCCAAAGTCTATCTTGGGCAGGTAGGACCACCAGGTGGAGGTTTTGCCCAAAGGATGCCATCAGCCTCCCTTTGGAGAAGTGGGGGTCTCAACCCCCACCATGAGGTATTGCTGATCCTGATGAATATATTTACACCCTCCCTAAATTATAAAAAAATAATAGAAAGCTATTTTAGGAGGACCCCATGTTCAGCCTGTGGTGGCCCAAAGAACAATGTTCATGAATTACTGCATAGGTTATACGCTCTGCATAATTAGAGCTACCTACATACAAATCCTGGGGGGGGGGAATCTTTGCCATATTTCTCACATCATATAGCATCACACACACACACACACACACACACACACACATACTGAGAAAAAGGAAAAGGCAGGGATCATTAACAATTCGGGCAGGCAAATGGGGAGCAACAGGGAAAGCCATGATAGCGCAGTGGTTAGAATGCAGTATTGCAGGGTAACTCTGCCGATCACCAGCAGTTTGATTCTCGCCGGCGCAAGGTTAATTCAGCCTTCCATCCTTCCGAGGTCTGTAAAATGAGGACCCAGATTGTTGGGAGACAATATGCCGATTCTGTATACCGCTTAGAGAGGGCCGTAAAGCCCTGTGAAGCAGTATATATGTCTTAGTGCTATTGCTATTCTGTCGGCCATCATGAATCTCTCTCTCTTCATCTTTTTGCTTCATCCAGCAGGTGGCACCAGGAAAAATGGACAAAGTTCCAGTTTTTTCTGCACTTAGAAAGCCCTGCAACTGAGAAGGCGCCGGAAATTATGCTGGGTGGAGAAATACTTCAATAGAAGGTCCCCTCAGAGGAACCAGGAGAGACTCTTCAAGTGCTCTGAGTGCGGGATATCCTTTGCTTACAAATCCCTCCTTTTGATTAACCGGAAGCTGGACATGGGGAATGGATCCCATCTGTGTTTGAAGTGTGGGAACTCGTTTCATGGCTGTGAAGCTTTGCCAAGCATCTCCGGAGCCGCCCCGGACTGAAGCCCTACAAATGGGGGAAGCATTTTGCTAAAGGCTGGGACCTCAGAGCTCCTTAGCGTATCCACCAGGGAAACAGACCTCAGGAAGGCCTCAGTGTTTTTCTAGGCCTCAGAACAGCCCAACTGAAGAGAAACCCTGCAATTGTGTGCAATGTGGGCTTTGCTTTTCTCAAAACTCAGAGATGCTTAAACATCAACAAATCCACACTGGACAAATACCTTATCAAAGTTTGGAGTGTGGGAAATCTTTTGTTCGAAAAAGAAGTGTCAAAATCCACAGGAAAATTCACATGGAAATAAAACCTTATAAATGCTTCGAATGTGGAAAATGTTTTACTCGGAATTCATCGCTTTGCAAACATAATAAAACACACACAGAGGAGGAAAGCAGAACGTGCTTAGAATGTGGGAAATGTTTTTCCAGCAAATCAGCCCTGCAGCGACATCAGACAGTCCACACTGGGGAAAGACCCCATGAATGCCCAGAATGTGAGAAACGATTTGGGAGTTCTTCCACACTTTGGAGTCACCAAAAAACACACACGAGAGAAAAACTCTACAAATGTAACGATTGTGAGAAATGTTTTTCTCTAAAGGGAAGTCTTTTTCGACATCAGATCATCCACACAGGGGAGAAACCCTATCAGTGCATCGAGTGTGGAAAATTTTTTCGTACGATATCAAGCCTCGGACATCATGAGAAAATTCACAGAGGGGAAAAAAAATTCAAATGTTTAGACTGTGGGAGAGCATTTATTCATTCATCTCTCCTTAGACGTCACTGGCAAATGCATACAGGAGAGAAGCCCCATAAATGCTCGGAGTGTGATAAATGTTTTTACCAGAAAAATAGACTTTTGATACATCAGAGAACCCACAGTGGAGAGAAACCATATAAATGTCCAGAGTGTGGGAAGTCTTTTTCTTGCCACGAATATCTTAGAAAACACGAGACGATTCACACAGAAAAAAAACATATCAGGTCTGTGCAGAAAAATAAAATGTGCTCAGAATGTGGGAGATGTTTCTCCCAAAGGTCACACCTAACTCGACATGAGAGACTTCACACTGGAGACAGGCCCTATCAATGCCCAGAATGCGACAAGCGATTTGTGGAGTCTGCTGAACTCCGGAGACACCAGAAGGGGCACACAGGAGAGAAGCCCTATAAATGTGGGGAGTGTGGGAAAGGTTTTCTCACAGCAACACTGCTTCGGGTTCATGGGAGAATCCACACAGGGGAGAAGCCATACAAATGTGTGGAGTGTGGGAAATGCTTTTCCCGAAAACAACACCTTGGACATCATCAAAAGGTCCATAAAAGAATGAAGCCATAAAGACTCATAAAGTGTAGAAATGTTTTCTTAAGAGGGAGATATCAGAAAACTCACATGGGGAAAGGCCTAACAGGCCCTGATGGTGGAACAGTTTTTCATAGTTGTTCAACCCTTAGAAGTCATGTAAGAGTTCCTAAAGAGGGGTGGGGGAATTGGATACTCTTAGATCATGAGAGAGCATTTATTTTGTCAATTATCCCTTAAAAACCATACTCTAGTCCATAAAGATGCAGCATAAATGTTTGGAGCGTGATGTATGTTTAGCTTGAAAGAATATTCTTTTTCAGCATCAGTGAATTCTTACTGGAGAGAAACTTTATCGGGGCTTAGAATGTGGCAAAGGTTTTTATTTGATAATCAGGCCTTCAGATGCACATGAAAAATCCACACAGGAGAAAAACCTTGACAAGTGTGTAGCGTGAGAAAACGTTTCCTTACCAATTGGAACCTCTTGCCTCCTGGAGTTTGTCCGTTTGAAATTGCCTCCTTGGAAATTTTCTTGCCAACTTAAAAATTTTATAATTTTTTTAAAAAAATAATTTGAAAACATGAATATGAAACTCTAATGTGAGTGAGAAAATCTAAAATCTAATGTGAAATTCTCCAGAATCAAAAAAGGACTCCTGCTAAGATCTTGGAAGCCACCAAAAGTCTCTTTTGAGTTGTGCAGGATTAATACATCCAGGAAAGACATACAGGCAGTCCTCGACTTATTTTACGACCTTTTTTCCCTCAGTTGCTGAGTGAATCACTGCAATTGATAAGTTAGTCCCGCGGTTGTTAAGTGAATCTGGCTTCCCCCATTGACTTTGCTTGTCAGAAAGAAGGCTGCAAAGGGTGATCACGTGACCCTGGGACACAGCAATGGTCATAAGTATGAGCCGGTTGCCAAGCATCTGAGTTTTGATCACATGACCATGGGGAGGCTGCAAAGGTCGTAACTGTGAAAAACGGTCATAAATCACCATTTTTCAGTGCCATTGTAACTTTGAGCGGTCACTAAATGAACTAGTGTAAGTCAAGGACTCCCTGTAAGAAACATAGAATATGTATCCTAGAGCGCAGTGGATGGAAGCCCAGACGCAAGAAGGGCTTTGCTTATAATTTGTGGTAATTTTAAAAGACCTTTTGGAAGAAACCATAATATTAATTGACAAATTAACGGATTTTAGTCCATTAGCTGGTTTTAAAATCAATGGCGAATAGACAAAGAAGTTGACCAAAATATGAAAATGGAAGACCAAAAAGAATTGATGGGGAAAAAGCGACTTAAAAGAAATGAGACAAAAGTAATACAAATTCTATGTCAAAACAATTACGACAAGGCATGGAATCAAATCAAGAAGGATGTGTTAACATGGAAGAAAAATACAATTGTTGTTGGATAGAATTTCTATAATTAAAAATGACTATATTACCTAGACCAGGGGTAGGCCACCTTGGCTCTTTTATGACTCGTGGTCTTCAACTCCCAGAATTCCTGAGCCAGCCATGCTGAGGGGAAAGGGAGAGTTTCCAAGCTGAGCCATGCTGGCTCAGGAATTCTGGGAGTTGAAGTCCACGAGTCATAAAAGAGCCAAGGTTGCCTACCCCTGACCTAGACTGGTGTTTCTGTTTTAAACAATACCTATCTAGCTGCCCACGATAATCTCAGGAATCTTCCCCAACACCGAAGTTCAAAAGCTGTCAACGCTTTCCTATCCTGCTTTTTCAAATCCAGTTTCGCTTCCATAGAATGTTACAGACAATAGTAGTCCTCAACTTACAACAGCAATGGAGCTTGCCCATTCCTGTCGGAAGTCAAGGACTACATTAAATGAAGGAGCAGTTGGATTCCTCCCACATAGCCTCTTCCTTTCCAGTCTCCTGAGTTCTGCAGAAGCTAAGCGTGGGATTGTAAGGGATAGGACCATTTGGAATCCAGTGGAGTGCACAGCAGGCCCAGCACCTCTGGGGACCCTGCAGTGCAGGAGGTAGCAGGGGTAAATGGATAGGTGGGTACGCTGAAGTGTGTCTGCAAAGTCAAGAATTCTGCAGAACCCACCAAATTATTTGTACGGGCAAATGACCAGGTGGCCTCTAAAGAATTCATAACTTTGAAACAGGTTCGTATATAGCAACCTGGAATTAAGAAGAAACTTTTCTTTCAAACCTCTTTAAAAAAATCAATTTATCACTTATTCACCCATCAATGGAATCCATCAATGCCTGCTGGTTACTGTTGAACACTGCAGCGAGATGCATCAGACACCGGAGTACAAACAAAAATCAGTAGCAAAACACTTTTTGCCTCTGTTGAATTCATGCAGCATGTCAGAAATATTATGCAATTAAATAGATTGTAGTCATTAAAGGTTAATTTCATATTGCTCAAGAGTCCTACGTAATACAGTCATTCTAAAATTACATTGGTTTTCAGTTTGAAGGGGTCTCGTAATTACCAAATGTTTTCCAAGATTCAAAATTTTTTGAAAGAAGTTGAGGTCCACTGTAATACTCCATATTGGGTATGTCCAAAATGGATGCATGTTCTGGACAATGAAGGTCAGTATGTTAGAATGTTTGGCATTTATTGAGTTAAGTGCTGTCTCCTTAAGAGATGGCTTATGGGTAATGTAGTTTAACTAAGCTATCCCATGTTAATAGGTCAGCAATAGGAGGAAAGGAGGAGCCACTAAAGTTCATGACAGGATATCCGGGCCACGAGCCAGTTTGAAATGTTCTTTGAGATTAGCATGGGGCCATCGGATGACTCAGATGGTTCCACTCCACATACGTTGGTGTGGAGAAGCCAATGAATTTACCTAATGAAGATGAACAGATTGCAATATACAGACAGAATCTACAAATAGGAAGTATTGTTTTCTGACTGAATAAATTATCTGTTTTGGAATCATCTTTATTTGAGTTTAATCTGTCTGTGATTGGATTAAAAAGGCATTTTGATTCATGATCAGAACAATGCATGACCTCTTCTCCATAATTACCATTTATAATCTGATGTGGGCAGATGGCCAAAATTATTTGTTAAGAGGATGGTTTAGGATGGGTAGGCAACCTTGGCTCTTTTATGACTCGTGGACTTCAGCTCCCAGAATTCCTGAGCCAACATGGCTCTGCTTGGAAACCTTCCTTTCCCCTCAGCATGGCTGGCTCAGGAATTCTGGGAGTTGAAGTCCACAAGTCATAAAAGAGCCAAGGTTGCCTACCCGTGCTTTAGGAGAAACATAGTACTTTTCATATATTCACACAAATGTATTTGTATTAAGTTTCTTTCTTTGATTTGAGAATATAATCCTAAATAAAATTATTGTTTAAAATAATCAAGAGGGCTGTTTTCAGGGAGTTTTAAAAAGTCAAGACGGCAGTCAAATTGTGCCACGCTCTGGAGTCAAACTCCTGCTGTTTTTTAGCTGTGTATATGATGCCCGTTAAAACAGCAGCCATCTTGATTCTTTTGGCTCCATCTCTAGCTGGAGACTTCTGACTTCCTGGATTGAACTGAAAGATATAGTTTTTGGATGAACTTTAGGAAAAATATCCTGGGGATTTGAATGGATCCCTGCTCTTAAGGGCAGATCATTGGCGGCTACCTACATGTGCCCAACACACTTGTGATTAAATGAACCACATCTTACTTAGGACATACATATGTAGTAGGTCACAAAAAGTGCCACTTCGAATTATGTAATCAATTTGATGTGAAATGCAAAGGTTTCATATTACCCAAAATTCAGCTAATGTGAGGCTGCTGTGTGTACAGTTGTGGTTTTAACCATAAATTTAAATTCCTTTCAGTATGTTCTTATTCTTTACTCTGATATTTCATTATTGTTCATATATCATGTTACATCAAGTACTTTTCTTGCGTATTTCTAGCACTCTGAACCCAATTAACCTATTTTCCATGAAAATATTACTTCAAACAACAAATTCAAACAATCTTTTTGTGTGATTCATTAACCACAATAATCTATGTTAACTCTTTGCTTACCCTGAACCCTGGTTAATTCCTTCTCTATCCTCCATGAAATGACATATCCTCCGCAATCCAATGCAATATAACGTTTCCCTAGCTTTTTTTTTTACTTTGCAAGTGGTGTTTTCCCTTTTGATCGAATAGAAACTCCTTTATGACGTAATTGCTATATGCTCAGAAGTTGAGATCTGCCCGTCTCCTATTGGCTACTGCAGGGGGCTGTTAACTCTACCCTCCAAGCACAGGGCGGGGTCCTGTGCGAGCATCTTGATCTGATTCCCACGGTAGCACAACGTATACAGGAAGAGGTTCCCCTAAGTCGTGGGGAGATGGAGTTACCCCATGGTCAGCAAACCATGATCAAAGCAAAGCTTATCGGATGGTGTTTCCTGATGCTCTGAGATGCAGAATAGGGGAAAGTGTAGACTTAGGTACTAAAGCAGCCAAATCACCGTCCCATACAACCCATGATCCCTGCATGCAACGTGGCTCCATCTGCTTGCGGTTTCCAGCTCCCAGTGCCCCATTTGGGCTCAACATACACGGGAAGAGGCGTCCCTGAGTGGAGACGGAGCTCCGCAGGAAATCACGAAAGGCTTCCTTCGCTTTCCCGCCGCCTCTGCTTCAGGGAGACCTGCCGACGAGTCCTGGACGGAGGGCTGGGCTGATTCCAGGGCTGGGAGTAAACTATGATTAAGCCATGATTAACACCGGTCTCTCTCCCTGGGGGAGACACGCTCGGTTCCATCATCACCGCAGCCTCTTTGGGCTAGGACCTCAGTGTTTCTCAACCTTGACAATTTTAAGGCATGTGGACTTCAACTCCCAGAATTCCACAGCCAGCATTGCTGGCTGTGGAATTCTGGGAGTTGAAGTCCACATGCCTTAAAATTGTCAAGGTTGAGAAACACTGGGCTAGGTAGACCCGCCACCTCCCTACTACGCAGCCCATCCTCCACAGCCATCTCAGCCTTCCAGGTGCCGGATGGGGGGGATCCCTCGTCCGAGTCCCCCTCAAACTTCGGGGGGAAGCAGGCAGCGAGGATCCCCGGCCGCCTCTTCCCAATCCCGGGGAAGAGAGAGGGAAGGAAGGAGGGAGGGAAAGGCTCCCGGTCTCGCCAGACTCCGCCCGGCTGGGAAAGAGGCGCCGCTCTAGGAATCTCCTCTCGTTCTCCCTACTTTCCTCCCCCCCTCCCAGCTCTGACTTGTTTTCCGCCTTTTTCCCCCCGGGCGGCATTTTGGGCGGCGGTGCAACTTCTGGGCGTCCGGCAAGGCTGCTCCTCGGCCCCGCTCCGGGCAGGTGGGGCTGCTCCTGCTCTCCCTCGGCCGGCCAGGAGGAAGGTAGCCCCAAGTCCCCCCCGGGTCCCCGGAGGGTGGCTGAGCCTGCCAGGATCCCGGGTGGATGCAGGGCTGGACGGGGAAAAGGGGGGGCTCGCCCCACGGAGGGAAAGGGGGGGCTTTGCTTTTGAAGGATTTGGGGGGGGGAATATGGGGCAATGGAAAGAAAGACCCGCCTTCTCCCTTCAATGGGGGGAGGTTAGTTTAAGGGGGGGAGTTTAAAGTCCTTGAATTGAGCTCATGGTCTCCCAACCCAGAAAAGATCCACTTTCTTTCTGCTTAATCTAAATAGAGAGGAATGAATATTTGCTTTTATTCTAATTTTTCAGTGGGTTTTCTTTTGTTTCTACAAAGCTGGGCAGAATCTGAAAAAAAAAATCATTATTTTCCTTCTTTTGCCATGAAGAGGCTGTGAGTGGGAGCCCCTTGGTGGGTTTTATCAATCAGAATAGAGCTGGAAGGGACCTTGGAGGTCTTCTAGTCCAACCCCTTGCTCAAGCAGGAGACCCTGTACCAGGGATAGGCAACCTTGGCACTTTTATGACTCGTGGACTTCAACTCCCAGAATTCCTGAGCCAGCCATGAAGTACTTTGAAAAACAGGTGGACGCCCTCTTCTTTGTGGCAGCCCAATATTGGAATACTGTTATCATGTCACCCCTGGTCCATCTTTACTCTAGCCTGGCCATAAACAATTCCTGCTACTGTCCTTCACATGTTTTTGTCTCCAGGTTTTTAATCATTTTAGTTCCTCTCCTTTGCCCTTTTTGCAGGGTCTCAATATCTGTTTTGCAATCTGGTGACCAAACCTGGATGCAGTATTCCAGCTGTGGTCTTACTAATTTACTTGCTCTTTATAAAGCTTTACTAATCCTTCTTGTGATTTTGATTCTACAACTCTTGTTTATACAACCAAGGATTCTATTAGCTTTTTTGGATGCTTTTGCACACTGATGGTTCATGTTTACTTCGACACTTGATTCTTCTCACAGTTAACAGTTTTTGAGGCAGGTTTTCCCTAATCTTTATTTGCACCTTTAGTTTTTCCTGCCTATGTGTAAAACCTTCCTTTTCTCCACATTAAGTATATTCTAGTCATGAGTTTCATCCCACCAAGTTTCAATAATGGCAACTTTATAATATCTGCCTTCACATACTAATACTTCAAGTTCACCCTATTTGATTCCTAAACTTCTTTCTGCTTAATCTAAATAGAGAGGAACGAATATCCTGGATTTTGTTCAATGCTTTGATTTTCTTTGGTTTCTACCAAGCTGGGTAGAATCTCTAAAAACTGTTATTTCCCTGGTTTTACCTCGGAAGAGGCTGTGATGCAGCAGCTGCTTCTTGGTGGCTGATTTAGAAAGGAAACTAGCAAATGGTAGAAGAAGCTTGGGAGAGAAATGGAGGGGAAAAGAAGGGAAAAATGAACAGAGCTGGAGATGAGAAAAGGGGGAAAGAGGGAATGGGGTGGAAAAGGAAGAGGAAGGGATTCAGGATGGATGTTGGACTTGACCAAGGCCTCAGACTGCAGAATTCAGTGACACCGAAAGGGAAAATGATGAAATATGAGAGGAGAAAAACTTGTTAATACCATACTATAATTTTGTTAAACCGTAAAGGCCACAAGATAAAATTTGAGTTTCACCCCATCACACTCTCCCAAAGCGGGGATCAGCTTACAGACCAGAGATTACACATCCCTCAACTAAAGTATTGCTGGTTTAACCATGGTTTCTGGAGCTGCTGCCCTTGGTGGTTGGGTGGATGCAACACATGAAGCCGAAAGAAACGGGCTGACGTTTGACCCCAAAGTCCATCTTGGGCAAGTAGGACCACCAAATTAATGTGGGAAAGAAATAGAATAGCATAGAATAAAGAAGAATAAAGTATAATAATAATGAAAAATCACTAAAAGCAAAAATGATGTGTCTGCATAATCTCTGAAAGAAAGCTGTGTTAGCCAAAAGCTGTATTAACAGTACGTGAATGACCTAATGCATATTTAGAAACATTGTATAAAAGTAAAAACTGCCTTCATTGTATTCCCATGAGAAATGGAGCTAACGTGTGAGAAACTATCTGAATGTTACACAAAGTAGATTCCATATACAATGTAAGATTCCATCTATGCTTCCTTTGTTCCTGAGAAAAAGAAACCTATAAAGCTTTAGTTTAGACCCTCCCCCTTGTTCAGAAATTTGCTGATTGTTAAGTCACTTCTGAACCTTTTTGCGCAAAAATAAAAACCTCTCTTTCACCTTCGGAATTTCGTAAAAGCCCTTTATTTTTTTAAGGCTTTATTTTTCCACAAGAAAATGGAAGTTTTGGCCAAAGGATGCCATTAGCCTCCCTTTGGGTAAATGGGTGTCTCAACCCCCACCATGAGGTATTGCTGACCGTGATGAATTTATTTACACCCTCCCTAAACTATAAAGGAATAATAGAAAGCCATTTTAGGAGGAGCCCATGTTCAGTTTGCATTGGAGGTACAAAGTCTGGGGCGGGGTTCTTTGCCTGTTTTCTCACATCATAGAGCATCACACACACGCACAACTGAGAAAAAGGAAAGGGCAGGGATCATTAACAACTAGGGGAGGCAAATGGGGAGCAACAAGGAAAGCCGTCATAGTGCAATGGTTAGAATGTAATATTGCAGGCTAATTCTGCCGATAGTTTGATTCTCACCGGCTCAAGGTTAATTCAGACTTCCATCCTTCCGAGGTCTGTAAAATGAGGACCAGATTGTTGGGGAGACAATATGCTGACTCTATAAAGCACTGATAAGCGATATATATGTCTAAGTGCTATTGCTATTCTGTCGACTATCACAAATCTTTCTTCTTTTTCCTTCATCCAGCAGGGGGCACTGGAAAAAGTGGACAAAGTTCCAGTTGTTAGATTTTCTGCGCTTAGAAAGCCCTGCAATTGAGAAGGCCCCAGAAATTATGCTGGGTGGAGAAATACTACGATAGAATGTCCCCTCAGAGGAACCAGGAGAGACTCTTCAAGTGCTCTGAGGGCGGGATATCCTTTGCTCACAAATCCCTCCTTTTGATTAACCGGAAGCTGGACATGAGGAATGGATCCGATCTGCGTTTGAAGTGTGGAAACTCGTTTTGTGGTTGTGAAACTTTGCCAAACATCTCCGGAGCTACCCCAGACTGAAGCCCTACAAATGTGGAGAGTGTGGGAAGCATTTTGCTAAAGGCTGGGACCTCAGAGCTCTTTAGCGTATCCACCAGGGAAAGAGACCTCAGGAAGGCCTCAGTGTTTTTCCAGGCCTCAGAATTGCCCAACTGAAGAGAAACCCCTGCAACTCAGAGATGCTTAAACATTAACAAATCCACACTGGACAAAAACCTTATCAACGTCTGGAGTGTGGGAAATCTTTTGTTCGAAAAAGAAGTGTCAAGATCCAGAGGAAAATTCACATGGAAATAAAACCTTATAAATGCTTAGAGTGTGGGAAATGTTTCACTCGGAGTTCATCTCTTTGCAATCATAATAAAACACACACAAAGGAGGAAAGCAGAACTTGCCTAGAATGTGGGAAATATTTTTCCAGCAAATTAGCCCTGCAACGACATCAGACAGTCCACACTGGGGAAAGACCCCATGAATGCCCAGAATGTGAGAAACGATTTGGGACGTCTTCCGCACTTCGGAGCCACCAAAAGACGCACACGGGGGGAAAACTCTATAAATGTAACGATTGTGAGAAATGTTTTTCTCTAAAGGAAAGTCTTTTTCGACATCAGATCATCCACACAGGGGAGAAACCCTATCAGTGCATCGAGTGTGGGAAATTTTTTTGTATGATATCAACCCTCAGACATCATGAGAAAATTCACAGAGAGGAAAAAAAATTCAAATGTTTAGACTGTGGGAGAGCATTTATTTGTTCATCTCATCTTAGAAGACACTGGCAAGTCCATATAGGAGAGAAGCCCCATAAATGCTCAGAGTGCGATAAATGTTTTTCTAAAAAAGACAGACTTTTGATACATCAGAGGAGCCACAGTGGAGAGAAGCCCCATAAATGCTCAGAGTGTGATAAATGTTTTTCTAAGAAAGACAGACTTTTGATACATCAGAGGACCCACAGTGGAGAGAAGCGCCATAAATGCTCAGAGTGCGATAAATGTTTTTCTAAGAAAGGCAGACTATTGATACATCAGAGGACCCATAGTGGAGAGAAACCACATAAATGTCCGGAGTGTGGGAGATGTTTCTCCCAAAGGACACACCTAATTCGACATGAGAGACTTCACACCGGAGACAGGCCCTATCAATGCCCAGAATGCGACAAGCGATTTGTGGAGTCTGCTGAACTCCGGAGACACCAGAAGGGGCACACAGGAGAGAAGCCCTATAAATGTGGGGAGTGTGCGAAAGGTTTTCTCACAGCAACACTGCTTCGGATTCACAGGAGTATCCACACAGGAGAGAAGCCTTATAAATGTGGGGAGTGTGCGAAAGGTTTTCTCACAGCAACACTGCTTCGGGTTCATGGGAGAATCCACACAGGGGAGAAGCCATACAAATGTGTGGAGTGTGGCAAATGCTTTTCCCAAAAACAACACCTCGGAAGTCATCAAAAGGTCCATAAAAGAATGAAGGTCCATAAAAGAATGAAGCCATAAAGACTGTAGAAATCTTTTGCTCAAAAGGAGATATCAGAAAACTCAATGGGAGAAGGCCTAACAGGCCCTGATGGTGGAACAGTTTTTCATAGTTGTTTCACCCTGAGAGGTCATGTAAAAGTTCCTAAAATTAGAACCTCTTAGATCAGTGGTTCTCAACCTTTCTAATGTCGTGACCCCATAAAACAGTTCCCCATGTTGTGGTGACCCCAAGTGGGTGTGGCCACCAATAAGAGGGAGTAGGACAGCTAGGGAAAAGGGAAAAAAATGGCGGACTGCATTGTTTGGCGACCCCCGTGAAATGGTCGTTTGACCCCAAATGGGGTCCCGACCCACAGGTTGAGAACCACTGTCTTAGATCCTGAGAGAGCATTTTTTGTCAATCATCCCTTAAAAATCATACTCTAATCCATATAGGGAAGATGTATCATAAATGTTTGGAGTTTTAATATAAAATACTCTTTTTCAGCATCAATGAATTCTTACTGGAGAGAAACTTTATCAGGGCTTAGGATGTGGCCCAGGTTTTTATCTGACAATCAGATCTTCAGATGCCCTTGAAAAATCCACACAGGAGAAAAACCTTAAGTGTGTAGCGTGAGAAAACATTTCCTTGCCAATTGGAACATCTTGCCTCCTGGAGTTTGTCCCTTTGAAATTGCCTCCTTGGAAATTTTCTTGCCAACTTAAAAAAATTATAATTTTGTAAAAAAAAATAAATTTTAAAAGGTGAATGTCATGTGAAAATCTAAAACCTAACGTGAAATTCTCCGGAATCATAAAAGGACTGCTGCTTTAGGCAGGGAGGGTTGGACTCGAAAACTACGATTCTTGTTATTCGGTGATGGGTCCCTTGTAGCTCTGTGATTCTAAGAATTTAAAAAGAAAAAGGGAAAGGGACAGTGAAAAAGAAAAAGTGTGTGTGGGGGGTGCAGCCGAAAAAGGAAAAAAAAGCTAAGGGTTCTGCTAAGATCTTGGAAGCCACCAAAAGTCTCTTTTGAGCTGGGCAGCATTTACGAATCCAGGAAATCTATACAGACAGTCCTTGACGTAGGACCACAATTGCTGTTGTTAAATGAGACATTTCTTCAGTGAGTTTTGCCCTATTTTACGACCTTTTTCGCCACAGCTGCTGAGTGAGTCACTGCAGTTGATAAGTTAGTCACGCGGTTATTAAGTGAATCTGGCTTCCCCCATTGACTTTGCTTATGAGAAGGAAGGCTTCAAAAGGGGATCACGTGACCCTGGGACACAGCAACAGTCATAAGTATGAGCCGGTTGCCAAGCATCTGAATTCTGATCACATGACCATGGGGAGGCTGCAAAGGTCGTAACTGTGAAAAACGGTCATAAGTCAACTTTTTTTCAGTGCCGTCGTAACTTTGAACGGTCGCTAAATGAACTAGTGTAAGTCAAGGACACTCTGTAGGAGCATAGAATATGTATCCTAGAGCACAGCGGATGGAAACCCGGAAATAAAAAGGGCTTTGCTTATAATGTTGTGGTCATTTTGAAAGACCGTTTGAAAGAAACCAAGATATTAATGTAAAAATAAACGGATTTTCGTGCATTAGCTGGTTTTAAAATCAATGGCAAATGGACAAAGAAGTTGACCAAAATATGAAAATGGAAGACCAAAAACAATTGGTGGGAAAAAGCGATCTAAAACAAACGAGACAAAAGAAAGACTGGGGCACCCCCTCCGTCTGTTCCCACCTGGGCACCTGCGCAGCTATACTTCTAGGATCTTCGGGATCCAGTAGGGACCTGCTCAGGGCCCCTTCCCGGCCCTCCTCCTTGCTGCACGGAAGACACTGCCCCTCTTTCCGCCCCTTCTCAGCCACGGAGGGGACACCTCCCCCCAAAAAAAACCACTGGGAGGGATCCATAGGCTGGGAAACGCAGAGGGGGCAGGTAGGAGCTTTTGGGGAAATTACTCCAGAAGGTCTCTCTGTGGTCCGTCAGAGCACGAGGTCTCTGAGCATGCATATCGCGCCCGTACAGTTGCAGAGAATGCATTAAACGGAGTTTGTTCTGAGGTATTATTGAAAGAAGAAGACCCATCAGGGTGCAGTCCAAGCTGGGAATAAACAAATATGGAGATTGCTTTAGAAAGTAGGTGGCAGTTTATTGAAGAGGAGAGCCAGACAGAAAGATGGCTCTAGGAAAATTGACCACATGTAGTAAGGCAGTTATGGTGAACCTTTTAGAGACCGAGTGTCCAAACTGCAACCCAAAACCCACTTATTTATCGCAAAGTGCCAACACAGCAATTTAATCTGAATACTGAGGTTTTAGTTTAGAAAAAAAAACTCACATTAACATCTTTTGTCTTAAAAGAAAAACACAATAACAAAGCTTTCAGCGATAAAGAAACCAACTTTTTACTGAAAGGTAAAAGTTTGAATTTGGCATGCTTTGGAACAATTTATGTGAGTTTTGCTGCTGTATGCATGCTGGTAATTTGTCTAATCTTAGCTTATACTTTGTAAGTTTGAGAGCAACACATGCAGCACTCAGGTCATCTGTTAGTCTTGTTTCTGGTGTCAGATTTGATATAATTCAAAGCTGAAAACAGCGCCCTTGCTCCGGAGGCTTGTTTTGGCTAGAAAGGGGCTTGTGAAATGGCATTTTCTTGGGAAAACTTAGCCAAAGAGCGAGGCGCACGTGCCCACAGACAGGGCTTCGAGTACCTCGTCTGGCACGCGTGCCATAGGTTCGCTACCACTGTAGCAAGGAGTGGTGGGTTTTCATACCTTCTTGAGCTTTTGTTTGGAGTTGTTCCTGTGGCATGAACTTTGACCTGACTCTCAGTGTGCCTTTCTGGTATTCTAATAGTGGTGGGTTAATCCTATTATGTCCCAAACATCATATCCTGCTTCCCCGGGGCTATAGCTGTGAGTGATGACTGTTGGATTTTTTGATCTGAGGGATTGTTGATTTTAGGAATCTTTGTTTTTTTTTAATCCCAGCTTCCTGGCTCCAATCTTTCTGACAAGATTATCACACATGCATTTCTGCAGATCTGGTTTCTGTTTGGGGCAGAGAAACTGGTGTGTGGGGGGTGTTTCTGCCTTTAAGATCCTTTTGAGAAATATAATAATCTGCCTTTTTAATATTCCCAAAATATTTCTTTCTCTGGATTCTTCCCACAGTATTAACCCAGACTGACCTCATTGCGATGGGGAGGGGAGGCTTTGGGGGAAAGAAAAGGGTTAAATTAACTGAATGCAGTTAATGTTTTCTTAATCCCCAGGAGATCCTCTTTCTTTGAGCTCAATGTAAAAAGCTAAAAATAAAATCTTTTGTTTGTAAGGTAATGTTTACCTTGGTGCTGCTTCAAAAAGCTGGGATGTATTTCTTAAACTTTACATTTTCCTTGTCTTGCCTAGAAGAGGCTGCGATGTGGCAGCCCCTTTTTGGTGGATATTCTATCAAGGACCAATGAAGTTTTGACAAGGGATTTGTGGAGTCTGCTGAACTCCAGAGACACCAGAAGGGGCACACAGGAGAGAAGCCCTATAAATGTGGGGAATGTGGGAAATGCTTTTCTCAAAAACAACACCTTGAAGGTTGTCAAAAGGGAGACATCAGAAGATTCAGCGTAGAGGAGAGTAAAGGTAAAGAAATCAACTGATTGCAGAGGGATTTACTGTTTCATATTTTTCTTATGTAGAGTTAAGAGAAAGATTTAAAGTAAATGAAAATTATATTTGGGATTGAACAAGAGACTATTAGGGAGAATTTGAAACTCTACTTTATGTGTAAATGATAAGCATGTAATTACTTGCCTATCCATGATAATCTCGGCATAGTTCTCCAACACTGAAGTTCCAAAACTGCCACACACTTCCTATCCTCCTCCTCTTGTCCAACTTTCTCTTCTGCAGAAGGTCACTGGAAATATCATGGCTACCACCATTCCGATCTTGAGATTTCGTTACTCTAGGCTATATCAATAAAATAAGAATTCCGGAACTTTTCTGGGTTTGGTTTCCTGATTTAGCCTCCCTTGAAGAACTGATATCCGTCTTGAACTTGTGATATCATACTTCTTTCCAAAACGTTGCAAGGAAAGTCATATTAAATTTAAGTCCTACTCCTGGGATTTCTTTGCTACCGCCCAAGCGTTTTCATACCACTTATTCATAACTTGTTTTAAAATTCCAAATGGAGTCAAAATCCACCTTTTGGGTTTTGTATCTTTTGTGTCACAGTAGAAAAAAATGTTCAGGCTAGTAAGAGAAAAGCAACAAAGAGGATTAGGGGAACAGAAGCTAAAACATAAGAGGAATGTTGCAGAAATTGTTATGTCTAGTCAAAAGAGGAGAAGGACTAGGAGCGACAGGATGGCAATCTTCCAGTAGTTGAGAAGCTGTCAGTACGTAGAGGGGACAACCTAGTTAACAAAGCACCTGAAGGCTGAACAACAAGTAATGGCTGAAAGCTAATCAAAGAGAGATGCAGGATAGAACTAAGGAGAATTTCCTCACATTTAGAACAATTAATCAGTGCAATGGCTGCCCTCCAATAGTTGCAAATACTCCATTCTGGAGACTTTTAAGAAGAGATTAGACACTCACTTGTCTAGAACGGTATAGGATCTCTTGCCTGGGCATGGGTTGAGAACTCTGTTATTCTGTAAAACTTGCTCATTTGTGGCTTGGAAAATTATACAAACCCACCAGTTACCCCACCGTCAGCAAACCATGATCAGAGCAAAGCAGGCTGGGCTGGGAGTAAATTATGATTAAGCCATGATTAAGACCGGTCTCTCTCCCTGGGGGAGCCACGACCGGATCCATCATGACCGCAGCCTCTTTGGGCTAGGAAGACCCTCCTTATCACGCCCACTTCCCCATCCAGCACAGCCATCTCAGCCTTGCCAGGTGCTGAATAGGGGATCCCTCGTCCGAGTCCCCCCCCCCCAAATTTCTGGGGGAAGCAGGGAGGGAGGATCCCCGGCCGCCTCTTGCCAATCCCGGGGAGGAGGGAGGGAGGGAGGGAAAGGCTCCGGGCCTCTCCAGACTCCGCCCGGCTGTCCAAGAGACGGCTCCCTCAGAGTCCTCCGAGGCGCCGCTCTAGGAAGCTCCTCTCGTTCTCCCTACTTTCCTCCCCCCCTCCCAGCTCTGACGTGTTTTCCGCCTTTTTCCCCCTGGCGGCATTTTGGGCGGCGGTGCAACTTCTGGACGTCCGGCAAGGCTGCTCCTCGGCCCCGCTCCGGGCAGGTGGGGCTGCTCCTGCTCTCCCTCGGCCGGCCAGGAGGAAGGTAGCCCCGAGTCCCCCCCGGGTCCCCGGAGGGTGGCTGAGCCTGCCAGGATCCCGGGTGGATGCAGGGCTGGACGGGGAAAAGGGGGGGCTCGCCCCACGGAGGGAAAGGGGGGGCTTTTCTTTTGAAGGATTTGTGGGGGGGGGAATATGGGGCGATGGAAAGAAAGACCCGCCTTCTCCCTTCAATGGGGGGGAGGTTGGTTTAAGGGGAGAAAAGTTTAAATTGCTTGAATTGAGCTCATGTTCTCCCGACCCAGAAAAGATCCACTTTCTTTCTGCTTAATCTAAATAGAGAGGAATGAATATTCTTTGCTTTTATTCCGATTCTTTGTTTTTCTTTTGTTTCTACAAAGCTGGGCAGAATCTGAAAAAAAAATCATTATTTTCCTTGTTTTGCCCTGAAGAAGCTGTGAGGTGGCAGCCCCTTAATGGGTTTTATCAATCTGAATAGAGCTGGAAGGGCCCTTGGAGGTCTTCTAGTCCAACCCCTTGCTCAAGCAGGAGACCCTATACCATTCCAGACAGGTGGCTGTCCAGTCTCTTCTTCAAAGCCTCCAGTGATGGAGAACCCACAACCTCTGAAGGCAAAGCTGTTCCCCTGGTTAATTGTCTTCACTGTTAGGAAGTTTCTGCTTAGTTCCAGGTTGCTTTTCTCTTTGATTAGTTTTCATCCATTGTTTGTTTTCCTGCCTTCAAATACTTTGAAAAACAGGTGGATGCCCTCTTCTTTGTGGCAGCCCCCCAATATTGGAATACTGTTATCATGTCACTCCTGGTCCATCTTTACTCTAGACTGGCTATACTAATCCTTCTTGTGATTTTGATTCTATGACTCTTGTTTATACAACCAAGGATTATAATAGCTTTTCTGGATGCTTTTGCACACTGATGGTTCATGTTTACGTGATTTGCCACTCGATTCCAAGGTCCCTCTCACAGTTAACTGTTTTTGAGGCAGGTTTTCCCTAATCTTTATTTTCACCTTTAGCTTTTCCTGCCTATATGTAAAACCTTCCTTTTCTCCACATTAAGTATATTCTAGTCATGAGTTTCATCCCACCAAGTTTCAATAATGGAAACTATATAACATCTGCCTTCACATACTAATACTTCAAGTTCACCCTATTTGTTCCCTAAACTTTGAGCGTTAGTGTATGGCAGACATGTCAAACACAAGGCCCGGGGGCCGGATGCGGCCCACGAAGTGGTTTCATGTGGCCCACAAAGCCATCCTGGAAACAAGGAGAGAACGGCCCCCGCTACCTTGGCCCTGGCCCAGGCCAGCCGGGAGCCAATGTACAATTTTGTGGTGGCCATCTTGGCACTTCCCCGGTGGACCATGCCATGGCACTTGCCCCAGTCCCACCCCCTTCTGGCAGAGACCCTCAGATCTGTCCCTCTCCTGCCCAGGCCCCCATAGGCACCCTTGATGTGAATGATGTAGAACTGGCCACGCCCACCCAGTAGGCCACACCCATGCCCACCCAGTAGGCCACACCCACTCCATCCACACCCGTCCAGTAGGCCACACCTACTCCATCCACACCCACCCAGTAGGCTGCACCCACTCTAGCCGCACCCACCCAACCCCCAGGGCAGCCTTAATGCTGATGCGGCCCTCAGTGAAATTGAGTTTGACACCCCAGCTGTATGGGCATTTCAGTCCTTTATTTGTCTTGGATATGTTTCTTATCTCTCCTCCTGTGTAATTGGGTTTTATATCCTCATATTCCCCCAACCCGGAAAAGATCCACTTTCCTTCTGCTTAACCTAAATAGAGAAGAACGAATATCCTGGATTTTGTTCAATGTTTTAATTTTCTTTGATTTCTACAAAGCTGGGTAGAATCTCTAAAAACCGTTATTTCCCTGGTTTTACCTCGGAAGAGGCTGTGATGCGGCAGCTGCTTCTTGGTGTCTGATTTAGAAAGGAAACTAGGAAATGGTAGAAGAAGCTTGGGAGAGAAATGGAGGGGAAAGGAAGGGAGAAATGAACAGAGATGCAGATGAGAAAAGGGGGAAAGAGGGAATGGGGGGGAAAAGGAAGAGGAAGGGATTCAGGATGGATGTTGGACTTGAGCAAGACCTCAAACTGCAGAATTCAGTGACACCGAAAAGGAAAATGATGAAATATGAGAGGAGAAAAACTTGTTAATACTGTACTATAATTTTGTTAAACCATAAAGGCCACGAAATAAAATTTGAGCTCCACCCTATCACACTCTCCCAAATAGGGAATCAGTTTTCAGACCAGAAATTACACATCCCTCAACTAAAGCATTGGTAGTTTAACCATGGTTTCTGGAGCTGCTGCCCTTGGTGAAGTGATTCCAGTGGTTGGGTGGAGGCAACACATGAAGCCGAAAGAAACTGGATGACATTTGACCCCAAAGTCTATCTTGGGCAGGTAGGACCACCAGATGGAAGTTTTTGCCAAAGGATGCCATTAGCCTCCTTTTGGGGAAGTGGGGGTCTCAGCCCCCACCATGAGGAATTGCTGACCCTGATGAATATATTTATACGGTCCCTAAACTATAAAGAAACAATAGGAAGCCATTCTAGGAGGGGCCCATATTAAGTCTATGCTGGCCCAAAGAACAATGTCCATGAATAACTACATAGGTTGTACTCTCTGCATTAGCGATACAAAGTTATTGGGTGGGTGGGTGGATGGGGGTCTTTGCCATGTTTTCTCACATCATAGAGCAGGGCTTTTCAACCTTTTCACCGATTGTACCACTTTTAGGACATGGCAATATTCGAGTACCACCTAGCAAGGTGTCAAAAACTTCACCAAAAAAACCCCCCTGCTCAAAGTTTCAATTGCAGTGAAATGACTTATGACCATTTTACACATTTATGACCATTGCAGCATGCCTAGGGTCATGTGATTTATATTTGGATGCTTGGCAACCGATTCATATTTATGATAATTACAGTGTCCCAGGTCATGTGAATCTTTTTGCAATCTTTTGACAAGCAAAATCAATGGCAGGGCTGCTGGTGGCCAAGTGCTAAGGCAGGACTTCCCTCCCTCTCTCCCTCCTTCCCTCCTCCCACTTTCTCATGCCCACCTCCTTCTGAAGGAAGAATTTGAAACCCCCCCCTCCCATATTTTCTCTCTTCCATATATTCGTCAAACAAGGAAAAGCCTCCAGAGACAGAAAAGACAAACTGCTACGTGAACTAGCTTTAAAAGGCACATTCCCCTTTAAGAATTAGCTACTGGGTAGAAAGGAAAGTTAAGGAGTGCAGCCGGCACTTAAGGAAGAAAAAAAAAATGTAGTAAGTATTGGCTGCTGGCTAAGGCAGCCTCCCCAAATGGCTCCTTTCATAAGTAAAGGAATGCTACAGGCAAAATCCATTCAGGAGAAAAATACTTCAAAATTCTTTGCAGCAAAACTTACAGCTAACAACAGCAGAGCAATAGAAGCTAACAGGAGACCTCAGCCAAATAGAAATTGCCAAACACTCCTTAAGAGCACAAAGCCCACATTGCACAAATCCCAGAACTTCAAAGTCACAAAAGCACATAAGAATCCTTCCACTCTCCATCTCCCTCCCTCCGTGCCTCACCTCCAGCCATTGTTGCCTTTTGTCATTCTTCTTGGAGGGCAACCCCTCTTCCACTGCATTTCTTGTCTGTTTGCTGCTGCCAGCTCAGATGGCTGCCACAACAGTTGTAGATCAGCTCATGGGCGACCTGCTTCATCTCCTCTCCCCCCACCCTCCTCCTCCTTTTCTTTTCCCTTTGGTGCAGCTAGAGCTGACTCCGCCTCCTCCCAAGGCTGCTGCTTTTTTCTCTCTCCCTCTCCCACCCAAACTGCCTCCTTTTATAGCCTCTCCTGTCTCCGCTCCGCTCCCCCTCCTTTCTCATGAAGGAGGGTGAGCCAGAAGTGAGCCTGGGGCCTTTGCCTCGCCCCAGCCACTTTGCAGCTCCAGAGGATTGTCTCACAGTAAGTCCTTCCCTGCGCTGGCTCTTTCCCTCCCTCAGTACACTTGGCTAGGCAGGGCTGTGTACCACCTTCCACTCGTTAATGTACCACAAGTGATACGCGTACCACCGGTTGAAAAGCCCTGTCGTAGAGCACCACACACAGACAACTGAGAAAAAGGAAAAGGCAGGGATCATTAACAATTTGGGCAGGCAAATGGGGAGCAACAGGGAAACCCGTGATAGCGCAGTGATTAGAATGCAGTATTGCAGGCTAACTCTACTGACTGCCAGCAGTTCGATTCTCACCGGATCAAGGTTGACTCAGCCTTCCATCCTTTTGTGGTCAATAAAATGAGGACCCAGATTGTTGGGGGGCAATAGGCCGATTCTGTAAACTGCTTGGAGAGGGCTGTAAAGCACTGTGAAGTGGTATATATATCTAAGTGCTATCTCTGTTCTGTCAGCCATCATGAATCTTTCTTCTTTTTCCTTCATGCAGCAGGTGGCACTGGGAAAAGTGGACCAAGTTCCAGTTGTTAGATACTTCAATAGGAAGTCCCCTCAGAGGAACCAGGAGAGACTCTTCAAGTGCTCTGAGGGCGGGATATCCTTTGCTCACAAATCCCTCCTTTTGGTTAACCGGAAGCTGGACAAGGGGAATGGATCCCATCTGTGTTTGAAGCTTTGCCAAGCATCTCCAGAGCCACCCCAGACTGAAGCCCTACAAATGTGGAGAGTGTGGGAAGCATTTTGCTAAAGGCTGGGACTTCAGAGCTCCTTAGCGTATCCACCAGGGAAAGAGACCTCAGGAAGGCCTCAGTGTTTTTCTAGGCCTCAGAACAGCCCAAGTGAAGAGAAACCCTGCAATTGTGTGCAGTGTGGCTTTGCTTTTCTGAAAAGTCAGAGATGCTTAAACATCAACAAATCCACACTGGACAAAAACCTTATCAACGTCTGGAGTGTGGGAAATCTTCTGTTCGAAAAAGAAGTGTCAAGATCCAGAGGAAAATTCACATGGAAATAAAACCTGATAAAAGCTTAGAGTGTGGAAAATGTTTCACTGGGAGTTCATTTCTTTGCAACCATAATAAAACACACACAGAGGAGGAAAGCAGAACGTGCCCTGAATGTGGGAAATGTTTTTCCAGCAAAGCATGCCTGCAGCGACATCAGCGAATCCACACTGGGGAAAGACCCCATGAATGCCCAGAATGTGAGAAACGATTTGGGACGTCTTCCACACTTCGGAGACACCAAAAGACGCACACGGGAGAAAAACTCTATAAATGTAACGATTGTGAGAAATGTTTTTCTCGAAGGGGAATTCTTTTTCAACATCAGATCATCCACACAGGGGAGAAACCCTATCAGTGCATCGAGTGTGGGAAATTTTTTTGTTTGATATCAACCCTCAGAAATCATGAGAAAATTCACAGAGGGGAAAAAAAATTCAAATGTTTAGACTGTGGGAGAGCATTTATTCATTCATCTCACCTTAGAAGTCACTGGCATGTCCATATAGGAGAGAAGCCCCATAAATGCTCAGAGTGCGATAAATGTTTTTCTACGAGACGTAGCCTTTTGATACATCAGAGGACCCACAGTGGAGAGAAGCCCCATAAATGCTCAGAGTGCGATAAATGTTTTTCTAGGAGACATAACCTTTTGATACATCAGAGGACCCATATTGCAGAGAAACCATATAAATGTCCGGAGTGTGGGAAGTTGTTTTCTTGCGAACAATATCTTAGAAAACACGAGATGATTCACACAGGAAAGAAGCGTATCAGGTCTCTGCAGAAAAATGAAATGTGCTCAGAATGTGGGAGATGTTTCTCCCAAAGGTCACACCTAATTCGACATGAGAGACTTCACACTGGAGACAGGCCCTATCAATGCCCAGAATGCGACAAGCGATTTGTGGAGTCTGCTGAACTCCGGAGACACCAGAGGGGGCACACAGGAGAGAAGCCCTACAAATGTGGGGAGTGTGCGAAAGGTTTTCTCACAGCAACACTGCTTCGGGTTCACGGGAGAATCCACACTGGGGAGAAGCCGTACAAATGTGTGGAGTGTGGGAAATGCTTTTCCCGAAAACAACAACTTGGACGTCATCAAAAGGTTCATACAGGAGTGAAGCCATAAAGACTCCTAAAGTGTAGAAATGTTTTGCTTAAAAGGGAGATATCGGAAAAGTCACATGGGAAAAGGCCTAACAGGCCCTGATGGTGGAACAGTTTTTCATAGGTGTTCACCCTTAGAAGTCATGTAAAAGTTCCTAAAGAACATGGGAGAGCATTTTTTTGTCATTCATCCCTTAAAAATGATACTCTAATCCAGGTGTATCAAACTCGCAATGTCACGTGATCTTTCGCAACGTGTTGTGACTTTTTTGCCGTTGCTGGCAATGGGGTGGGTTCAGTTTTGCTATGATGCATCCAGTGCACGGACTGGCAGTTTGACACTCCTGCTCTAATCCATATAGGAAAGATGGAGCATAAATGTTTGCAGTCTGATGTATGGGTTGCCCGAAAAAATACTCTTTTTTCAGGATCAGTGAATTCTTACTGGAGAGAAACTTTTATGAGGGCTTAGGATGTGGGAAAGGTTTTCATAAGGACTCCTGCTTTTGGCAGGTAGGATTGGACTAGAAGATCACAACTCTTGCTATTCTGTGATTGGTCCCTTGTAGCTCTGTGATTCTAGGAATATATTCTCATATATACAGGTAGTCCTTGACCTATGACTACAATTGAGCCCAAAATTTCTGTTGTTAAGTGAGACATTTCTTAAGTGAGTTTTGCCCCATTTTACGACCTTTTTTCCCACAGTTGCTGAGTGAATCCCTGCAGTTGATAAGTTAGTCACGCGGGTGTTAAGTGAATCTGGTTTCCCCCATTGACTTTGCTTGTCAGAAAGAAGTCTGCAAAGGGTGATCACGTGACCCTGGGACACAGCAACGGTCATAAATATGAGCCGGTTGCCAAGCATCTGAGTTTTGATCACATGACCCTGGGATAGAAGCATAGAATATGTATCCTGAAACGCAGCACATTGAAGCCTGGAAGTAATAGTTTAACAAGACCTTTTGGAAGAAACTATAATATTAATGTACAAATTAACATATTTTAGGGCATTAGCTGATTTTAAAATCAATGGCAAATGGACAAAGAAGTTGACCAAAATATGAAAATGGAAGACCAAAGAGAATTAACGGGAAAAAGCGATTTAAAAGAAATGAGAGAAAAGTAAAAATAATTATGATAAGGCATGGAATTAAATAAAGAACGATGTGTTAAGATGGGGAAAAATAACAATTGTTGTTGGGTACAATTTCCATAATTAAAAATGACTATATTACCTAGACTGATGTTTCTGTTTTAAACAATACCTATCTAGACAACGGGTGCACCACTAAAGAAATGGCAGGAAGATATAGCTAAGCTTATATGGCAGGAGAAAAACCAAAAAGTTTAATTGAAAACTCTTCAAGAGAAAAGATAACAGTAAGTAGTAGTAGTGGTAGTCGCAGTATTATTATTATTAGTACTAGCAGTAGCAGTAGGAAAGGACCTTGGAGGTCAGGCAGGAAACCTGCTCAGGTAGTAAACCCTATACCATTTCGGACAAATGGCTGTCCAGTCTCTTCTTAAAAACTTCCAGTGTTGGAGCATTCACCGCTTCTGGAGGCAGGTTGTTCCACTGGTTAATTGTTCTGTCAGGAATTTTCTCCTTAGTTCTAGGTTGCTTCTGTCCTTGGTTAGTTTCCATCTGTTGCTTGTCCTGCTTTCAGGCGCCTTGAAGAATAGCTTGACTCCCTCTTCTTTGTGGCAGCCTCTGAGATATTGGAACACTGCTATCATGTCCCCCCTCGTCCTTCTCTTCATTAAACTAGACAATTCCAGCAACCATTCTTTATATGTTTTAGCCTCCAGTCCCTTAATCATCTTTGTTGCTCTTCTCTGTACTCTTTGTAGAGGCTCAACATCTTCTTTACATCGTGACCAAAATTGGATGCAGTATTTCAAGTGTATGTATGTAATGTATACATAAATACCATCTGTATCCAGAAAAACCCACAGGGCAGTGGCAATTTGCACCTCTTTTTTTGTGGAAGGTTCCAGAAATGGGAGGTCCCCACCAAGAAGTTCCTGTGTGGTGGAAACACCCATGAAAAAGGAGCTGCTTTCCAACTTAAGGAGCAGTTCCCAAACAACTCATCAGAAAGCCAACGTATCTGATTCTCTCAGAGATTTTCAACTTTGGCAACTTTCAGATGTGTGGACTTCAATTCCTAGCATGCTCCTTGGGGAATTCTGGGGATTGTAGTCCACACATCTTAAAAGTTACCAAGATTAAAAAAACACACTGGTTTCTATAAAGAGATCCTCCCCTTTGCCCCACCTCTCCCACCCAATTCTTTCCAACTGAGTGTGGCCTGTTATGCCGCAGAAGAGCCTTTCCCAATCTGGTGTTCTGCCAATGTGGGAGTCAAAGTCGCAAACATCTGGAGGACAGCAACTGGGGCAAGGTGGCCAGAGGGGGTCTCCTGGCTCTCATTGGACTGAGCTGCTTAACTCCTGCTTTGCCTTCCGGTTCTTCCTTAAACCCGGGTGCTGCTCTAAATGCTCCTAATTGTTTTTGTATCTCAAGAAGATAAATATTTCGGACTGCAGAGTAAATAAAACTACACAGCAGCTTAACGTTGTGATTCTTGGGTAGTGGGTCCAGGGATTGTCTTGCCACAAGGAGGCTTGCTAGCATTGACTAAATGGAATCCTCCAGACGTGAGTTAGCCTGGGTGTCTTCTCCCATAACGTCTTGCCGGCTGGACTTGATGGGGGTTGTGATCCAACAACTTGCAGCCCCCAGACAGGTGAGCTGCTCTGAAGGCATCTAAACGTTACATTTGATAATGGGTGGGGCTTGTGAAGAGTTCAGATAGGCTTAATATATATATATTTAAAAGTTCAAATGTACTTCAGGGGCCAAAATCCGAATTAAGTGTCATGGGGGGACTAGGGAAGAAGAAGGGGTCTCCTCTGGGCCCTACAAACCGTTTCTAAGCCTCTGTGTAGAAATTGGGTGCCCCCAAGTTACAGGAAGCACAGCCATGGTTCCAGTGTTTTTATCCTAGGGAGGCAAGCAGAAGCCTCTGTCCGATTCTGGGCAGAAGGCAAGCGAAGGGCCGGGGGGGGGGCAGGCCCGCCTGGGCACTGCAGGGCACTCTTCGCATGGGCAGAGGAACCCCGGACCCGGATGTCCAACGGAGGGACGGAGTGCCGACTGGGAAGCAGGGAAGGGCGGGAGAAGTGGAGGCCAAGGGGCAGGACTGAAAGGCTGAGGCGGAGGCCGAGAGGAGAGCAGAAGCAGCGCCCGCGCCTCAACCTAGTCACGCCCGGCTCCATCATCACCGCAGCCCCTTTGGACTCGGCAGGACCTCCGTCTCCCTACTACGCAGCCCATCCTCCACAGCCATCTCAGCCCTGCCAGGTGCCGGAAGGGGAATCCCTCCTCCGAGTCCCCTCCAAACTTCGGGGGAAACAGGGAGCGATGATCCCTGGCCGCCTCTTCCCAATCCCGGGGAGGGAGGGAGGAAGGAAAAGGCTCCGGGCCTCTCCAGACTCCGCCTGGCTGTGAAAGGGGCGGCTCTCCCGGCGCCCTCCGAGGCGCCTCTCTAGGAAGCTCCTCTCGTTCTCCCTACTCCCCACCCCCCCGTAACTGACGTCCCAGAGCTCCGTTGCGGAGGATTTTCCTTCTCCGCCTTTTTCCCCCTGGCGGCATTTTGGGCGGCGGTGCAACTTCTGGGCGTCCGGCAAGGCTGCTCCTCGGCCCCGCTCCGGGCAGGTGGGGCTGCTCCTGCTCTCTCTCGGCCGGCCAGGAGGAAGGTAGCCCGAGTCCCCCCCGGATCCCCGGAGGGTGGCTGAGCCTGCCAGGATCCCGGGTGGCTGCAGGGCTGGACGGGGAAAAGGGGGGGCTCGCCCCACGGAGGGAAAGGGGGGCTTTTCTTTTGAAGGATTTGTGGGGGGGGAATATGGGGCGATGGAAAGAAAGACCCGCCTTCTCCCTTCAGTTAGGGGGAGTTTGGTTTAAGGGGGGGGAGTTTAAATTGCTTGAATTGAGCTCATGTTCTCCCAACCCAGAAAAGATCCACTTTCTTTCTGCTTAATCTAAATAGAGAGGAATGAATATTCTTTGCTTTTATTCTAATTCTTTGTTTTTCTTTTGTTTCTACAAAGCTGGCCAGAATCTGAAAAAAAATCATTATTTTCCTTGTTTTGCCGTGAAGAGGCTGTGAGGTGGCAGCTCCTTGGTGGGTTTTATCAATCTGAATAGAGCTGGAAGGGACCTTGGAGGTCGTCTAGTCCAACCCCTTGCTCAAGCAGGAGACCCTATACCATTCCAGACAGGTGGCTGTCCAGTCTCTTCTTCAAAGCCTCCAGTGATGGAGAACCCACAACCTCTGAAGGAAAACTGTTCCACAGGTTAATTGTCTTCACTGTTAGAAAGTTTCTGCTTAGTTCCAGGTTGCTTTTCTCTTTGATTAGTTTTCATCCATTGTTTCTTTTCCTGCTTTCAAGTACTTTGAAAAACAGGTGGATCCCCTCTTTTTTGTGGCAGCCCCCCAATATTGGAATACTGTTATCATGTCACACTCCCCCCCCTCCATCTTTACACTAGACTGGCCATAAACAATTCCTGCAACATTCCTTCACATGTTTTTATCTCCAGGCCTTTAATCATTTTAGTTGCTCTTCTTTGCCCTTTTTGCAGGGTCTCAATATCTGTTTTGTAATGTGGTGACCAAACCTGGATGCAGTATTCCAGCTGTGGTCTTACTAATTTAGTTGCTCTTTATAAAGCTATACTAACACGACTTCTGGGCACTCCTTCCCCATAGGCACCCTTGACGTGAATGATGTAGAACGCCACCCAGTAGGCCACACCCACTCCATCCACGCCCACCCATTAGGCTGCACCCACTCTGGCCACACCCACCCGGCCCCCCAGGGCAACCGCAATGCTGATGCGGCCCTCAGTGAAATTGAGTTTGACACCCCTGGTGTATGGGCATTTCAGTCCTTTATTTGTCTTGGATATGTTTCTTATCTCTCCTCCTTTGCAACTGGGATTTAAGCCCTCATATTCCCCCAACCCAGAAAAGATCCCCTTTCCTTCTGCTTAACCTAAATAGAGAGGAACGAATATCCTGGATTTTATTCAATTTCGTTCAATACCCTGTATTTTGATTTTTTTTGGTTTCTACAAAGCTGGGTAGAATCTCTAAAAATCGTTATTTCCCTGGTTTTACCTCGGAAGGGGCTGTGATGCTGATTTAGAAAGGAAACTAGCAAATGGTAGAAGAAGCTTGGGAGAGAAATGGAGGGGAAAGGAAGGGAAAAATGAACAGAGCTGCAGATGAGAAAAGGGGGAAAGAGGGAATGGGGGGGAAGAAAGAGGAAGGGATTCAGGATGGATGTTGGACTTGAGCAAGGCCTCAAATTGCAGAATTCAGTGACACCGAAGGGGAAAATGATGAAATGTGAGAGGAGAAAAACTTGTTAATACTGTACTATAATTTTGTTAAACCGTAAAGGCCACGAAATAAAATTTGAGTTCCACACTCTCCCAAAGAGGGGATCAGTTTTCAGAGCAGAAATTACACATCCTTCAACTAAAGCATTGCTAGTTTGACCATGGTTTGTGGAGCTGCTGCCCTTGGTGAAGTGATTCCAGTGGTTGGGTGGAGGCAACACATGAAGCCGAAAGAAACTGACCGACATTTGACCCCAAAGTCCATCTTGGGCAGGTAGGACCACCAGATGGAAGTTTTGGCCAAAGGATGCCGTTAGCCTCCCTTTGGGAAAATGGGGATCTCAGCCCCCACCATGAGGAATTGCTGACCCTGATGAATATATTTATACGGTCTCTAAACTATAAAGAAACAATAGGAAGCCATTCTAGGAGGGGCCCATATTAAGTCTATGCTGGCCCAAAGAACAATGTCCATGAATAACTACATAGGTTTTATTTATTTTTATTTTATTTTTTATTTTTATTTTTAAAATGTATAAGCCGCCCCACTCCCGAAGGACTCTGGGTGGCTAACAATAAAAAACACATAAAACATAACAAAACAAACAGTACAAAAACAGTGATCCAGGGGTCAGATTTTATAAACCCCAGGCCTGCCGGAAAAGCCAGGTCTTAAGCAGCTTACGGAAGACCAACAGGGTGGGAGCGGTCCTAATCTCCGGGGGGAGCTGGTTCCAAAACGGCGCCATCACAGGGAAGGCCCTCCGCGGCCCCGCAAAATGGCACTGCTTGGCCGACGGGACCTGAAGGAGGCCCAGCCTGTGGGATCTAACCGGCTGGGGTAGTAGGCGGTCTCGGAAATAGCCTGGCCCTGAGCCATATAGGGCTTTAAAGGTAATGACCAACACCTTGAATTGGACCCGGAGACCAATAGGCAACCAGTGCAGCTCACGGAGGATAGGTGTAACGTGGGTGTATCGAGAAGCACCCACTATCACTCGCGCAGCTGCATTCTGGACCAACTGTAGTCTCCGAATACTTTTCAAGGGTAGCCCCATGTAGAGCGCGTTGCAGTAGTCCAGACGTGAGGTGACAAGGGCATGAGTGACTGTAAGGAGAGCCTCCCGGTCCAGGTAGGGTCGCAACTGGTGCAACAGGCGAACTTGTGCAAAGGTCCTTCCAGCCACAGCCATCAATTGATGTTCCAAATTCAGCTGTGGATCAAGGAGGACACCCAAGTTGCGAACTCGCTCCGAAGGGGGTATATTTTCCCCCACAAGAGTCAACACTGGACAGTCGACATGATCCTTGGGAGGCAACATCCAAAGCCACTCAGTCTTGTCAGGATTGAGCCTGAGTCTGTTAACCCCCCATCCAGACCCTCACGGCTTTGAGGCAACGGCCCATCACATCGGCCACTGGGTATCATCAGCATACTGATGAAACCTCACCCCATGCTGTCTGATGATCTCACCCAGCGGCTTCATATAAATGTTAAATAGGAGGGGAGAGAGGACCGACCCCTGTGGCACGCTGCATTCAAGGGACCTCGGGGTTGACCTCGGCCCTCCCACCAATACCAATTGCGACCGGCCAGAGAGGTAGGAGGAGAACCACCGTAAAATGGTGCCTCCCACTCCCACTCCTTTGAGTCGTCGCAAAAGGATACCATGATCGATGGTATCAAAAGCCGCTGAGAGGTCAAGTAGCACCAAGACAGAGGAATAACCCCTGTCTCAGGCCCACCAGAGATCATCCATCAGCGCGACCAAAGCGGTTTCTGTGCTGAAGCCGGGCCTGAAGCCAGATTGAAAAGGATTTAGATAATCCACTTCATTCAGAGACCATCGGAGCTGGAGCGCCACCACTCTCTCTACAACCTTCCCCACAAAGGGGAGATTGGAGACTGGACGGAAGTTATTTAAGTCAGCCGGGTCCAGGATAGGCTTCTTGAGAAGGGGCCTCACAACCGCCTCCTTCAGGGATTGCGGGAAAGACCCCTCCCTCAACGAAGCGTTGATCAACACCTGGAGCCAGCCTCGTGTCACCTCCTTGGCAGCTGAGACCAACCAGGAAGGACACGGGTCCAATAAACAAGTGGAGGCGCTCATTGCTCCCACTGCTCTGTCAACATCCTCAGCGGTCACAGACTCAAATTCATCCCATAAAACTGAGCTAAGACCTGCCCCAGTCATCTCAGAAGGCCCTGCCCAATCGGAGTCCAGGTCTGTCCGAATCCGAGCAATTTTGTCTGATAGGAATTGCACAAATTCCTCTGCTCTACCTGGTAAGGGCTCCCGGCTTTCCGAACGTTAAGTAGGGAACGGGTCACCCTAAAGAGGGCGGCAGGGCGAGATTCTGCAGACACAATAAGTGCGGAAAAATGCGAACATTTTGCCGCTCATATCGCCACTAAATAAGTCCTAATATAGGCTCTTAGAAGTGTCCGGTCGGATTCGGAGGTACTAGTCCTCCAGCGTCGCTCTAGACGTCTCTTCTGACGCTTCATCTCCTGTAGCTCCTTGGTAAACCAAGGTGCCCTCCGGGATCCACAATCACGGAGAGGTCGCAAAGGCGCGATCTGGTCTAACGCCCCTGATGCCGCCTTATTCCAAGCAGTGACCAAGCACTCAGCTGGTTCGTGGAGGAGGGAATCAGGAAAACCCCCAAGTGCTATTTGGAACCCCTCCGAGTCCATTAAACACCTGGGGCAGAACCACCTAATCGGTTCCGCCTCCTTGCGGTGGGGGAGTAGGACCGAGAAATCTAATCTCAACAGGAAGTGATCCGACCATGACAAGGGAGAAGTAACTATACCCCTTAAATTGAAATCACGTCTCCACTGCCCCGAGAGGAATACCAAGTCGAGCGTGTATCCTCCCCTCTGGGTCGGACCCTGAATTATCTGAGTCAGGTCCATGGTTGTCATGGAAGCCATGAACTCCTGAGTCACACCAGAGGATTCACCAAGTGACGGCAAATTGAAATCCCCCAGCACCATAAGCCTAGGGAATTCCACTGCCAACCTGGCTACCCCCTCCAGCAGCTCAGGCAGGGCTGTTGTCACATAGCTGGGAGGCAGGTATGTCAACAACAAGCCCGACTGAACCCTTGAATCCAACCTCAAGAGAAGGGACTCACACCCAACAACCTCTGGGGCTGGGATCCTGCGAGGTCTCAGGGATTCTCGGACAAGAATCGCCACTCCCCCACCCCTTCCCTGGAGTCGCGGTTGGTGCATTATCTGAAACCCGTCTGGACACATCTATGAGAGAGGAACACTTCCCTCTTGGCCCAGCCAGGTCTCAGTAATACATGCCAGGTTGGCCTCCTCATCTAGTATCAAGTCCCGGATGAGGGGGGCTTTATTAATAACTGACCTGGCATTAAGAAGCAGCAACCTGAGGCCAGGGTCCTGAACACCCCCCTCTCTGAATTAGTGATACCTGACATATACAAAGTTATGGGGTGGGTGGGGGTCTTTGCCATGTTTTCTCACATCATAGAGCAGGGCCTTTCAACCTTTTCACGGAGTGTACAACTTTTAGGATATGGCAATATTCGAGTACCACCTAGCAAGGTGTCAAAAACTTGACCAAAAAAAACCCCTGCTCAAAGTTGCAATTGCACTGAAATGACTTATGACCATTTTACACACTTATGACCATTGCAGCATGCCCAGGGTCATGTGATTTATATTCGGATGCTTGCTAACCGACTCATATTTATGATGGTCACAGTGTCCCAGGGTCATGTGATCCCCTTTTGCAATCTTTTGACAAGCAGAGTCAATGGCAGGGCTGCTGGTGGCCAAGTGCTAAGGCGGGACTTCCTTCCCTCCCTCCCTCCTTCCCTGCCTCCCTCTTTCTCATGCCCACTTTGTTCTGAAGGAAGAATTTGAACCCCTCCCCCATATTTTCTCTCTTCCATATATTCATCAAACAAGGAAAAGCCTCCAGAGACAGAAAAGACAAACTGCTAAGTGAACTAGCTTTAAAAGGCACATTCCCCTTTAAGAATTAGCTACTGGCTAGAAGGGAAACTTAAGGAGTGCAGCCAGCACTTAAGGAAGAAAAAAAAATGTAAGTATTGGCTGCTGGCTAAGGCAGCCTCCCCAAATGGCTCCTTTCATAAGTAAAGGAATGCTACAGGCAAAATCCATTCAGGAGAAAAATACTTCAAAATCCCTTGCAGCAAAACTTACAGCTAACAACAGCAGAGCAATAGAAGCTAACAGGACATCAGCAAAATAGAAATTGCCAAACACTCCTTAGGAACACAAAGCCCACATTGCACAAATCGCAGAACTTCAAAGTCACAAAAGCACATAAGAATCCTTCCACTCTCCATCTCCCTCCCTCCGTGCCTCACCTCTAGCCATTGCTGCCTTTTTTCATTCCTCTTGGAGGGCAACCCCTCTTCCACTGCATTTCTTGCCTATATGCTGCTGCCAGCTCAGATGGCTGCCACAACAGTTGTAGATCAGCTCATGACCGGCCTGCTTCATCTCCTCTCCCCCACCCTCCTTTTCCTTTCCCTTTGGTGCAGCTAGAGCTGACTCCGCCTCCTCCCAAGGCTGCTGCTTTTTTCTCTTCCTCTCCCGCCCAAACTGCCTCCTTTTATAGCCTCTCCTGTCTCCGCTCCCCTCCTCCTCCTTTCTCATGGGGGAGGGTGAGCCAGAAGTGAGCCTGGGGCCTTTGCCTCGCCCCAGCCACTCTGCAGCTCCAGAGGATTCTCTCACAGTAAGTCCTTGCCTGCGCTGGCTCTTTCCCTCCCCCACTACACTTGGCTAGGCAGGGCTGCGTACCACCTTCCACTCGTTAATGTATCACAAGTGGTACGCGTACCACCGGTTGAAAAGCTCTGTCGTAGAGCATCACACACAGACAACTGAGGAAAAGGAAAAGGCAGGGATCATTAACAATTCGGGCAGGCAAATGGGGAGCAACAGGGAAACCCGTGATAGCTCAGTGGTTAGAATGCAGTATTGCAGGCTAACTCTACTGTCTGCCAGCAGTTCGATTCTCACCGGCTCAAGGTTGACTCAGCCTTCCATCCTTCCGAAGTCAGTAAAATGAGGACCCAAATTGTTGGGGGGGAATAAGCCGATTCTGTAAACCACTTAGAGAGGGCTGTAAAGCCCTGTGAAGCGGTATATATGTCTAAGTGCTATCTCTGTTCTGTCAGCCATCATGAATCTTTCTTCTTTTTCCTTCATGCAGCAGGTGGCACTGGGAAAAGTGGACCAAGTTCCAGTTGTTAGATACTTCAATAGAAGATCCCCTCAGAGGAACCAGGAGAGACTCTTCAAGTGCTCTGAGGGCGGGATATCCTTTGCTCACAAATCCCTCCTTTTGATTAACCAGAAGCTGGACATGGGGAATGGATCCCATCTGTGTTTGGAAACTCGTTTCATGGTTGTGAAGCTTTGCCAAACATCTCCAGAGCCACCCCAGACTGAAGCCCTACAAATGTGGAGAGTGTGGGAACCATTTTGCTAAAGGCTGGGACCTCAGAGCTCCTTAGCGTATCCACCAGGGAAAGAGACCTCAGGAAGGCCTCAGTGTTTTTCCAGGCCTCAGAACAGCCCAAGTGAAGAGAAACCCTGCAATTGTGTGCAGTGTGAGCTTTGCTTTTCTGAAAAGTCAGAGATGCTTAAACATCAACAAATCCACACTGGACAAAAACCTTATCAACGTCTGGAGTGTGGGAAATCTTCTGTTCGAAAAAGAAGTGTCAAGATCCAGAGGAAAATTCACATGGAAATAAAACCTTATAAAAGCTTCGAGTGTGGAAAATGTTTCACTGGGAGTTCATTTCTTTGCAACCATAATAAAACACACACAGAGGAGGAAAGCAGAACGTGCCTAGAATGTGGGAAATGTTTTTCCAGCAAATCATCCCTGCAGCGACATCAGCGAATCCACACTGGGGAAAGACCCCATGAATGCCCAGAATGTGAGAAACGATTTGGGACTTCTTCCACACTTCGGAGACACCAAAAGACGCACACGGGAGAAAAACTCTATAAATGTAACGATTGTGAGAAATGTTTTTCTCGAAAGGGAATTCTTTTTCAACATCAGATCATCCACACAGGGGAGAAACCCTATCAGTGCATCGAGTGTGGGAAATTTTTTTGTTTGATATCAACCCTCAGAAATCATGAGAAAATTCACAGAGGGGAAAAAAAATTCAAATGTTTAGACTGTGGGAGAGCATTTATTCATTCATCTCTCCTTAGACGTCACTGGCAAATGCATATAGGAGAGAAGCCCCATAAATGCTCAGAGTGTGATAAATGTTTTTCTAGGAGACATAGCCTTTTGATACATCAGAGGACCCATATTGGAGAGAAACCATATAAATGTCCGGAGTGTGGGAAGTCTTTTTCTTGCCATGAATATCTTAAAAAACACCAGACGATTCACACAGGAAAGAAGCGTATCAGATCTGTGCAGAAAAATGAAATGTGCTCAGAATGTGGGAGATGTTTCTCCCAAAGGTCACACCTAACTCGACATGAGAGACTTCACACCGGAGACAGGCCCTATCAATGCCCAGAATGTGACAAGCGATTTGTGGAGTCTTCTGAACTCCGGAGACACCAGAGGGGGCACACAGGGGAGAAGCCCTATAAATGTGGGCAGTGTGCGAAAGGTTTTCTCACAGCAACACTGCTTCGGGTTCATGAGAGAATCCACACAGGGGAGAAACCGTATAAATGTGTAGAGTGTGGGAAATGCTTTTCCCGAAAACAACACCTCGGAAGTCATCAAAAGGTCCATACAGGAGTGAAGCCATAAAGACTCATAAAGTGAAGAAATGTTTTGCTTAAAAGGGAGATATCAGAAAAGTGACATGGGAAAAGGCCTAACAGGCCCTGATGGTGGAACAGTTTTTCATAGGTGTTCACCCTTAGAAGTCATGTAAAAGTTCCTAAAGAGTGGTGGGGGCGAATTAGAAACTCTTAGATCATGGGAGAGCATTTTTTTGTCATTCATCCCTTAAAAATCATACTCTAATCCAGGTGTATCAAACTCACAATGTCATGTGATATTTCGCAACGTGTTGTGACTTTTTTGCCGTTGCCGGCAATGGGGTGGGTTCAGTTTTGCTATGATGCATCCGGTGCACGGACTGGCAGTTTGACACCCCTGCTCTAATCCATATAGGAAAGATGGAGCATAAATGTTTGCAGTGTGATGTATGGGTTGCCCGAAAAAAATACTCTTTTTTCAGGATCAGTAAATTCTTACTGGAGAGAAACTTTTATGAGGGCTTAGGATGTGGGAAAGGTTTTCATAAGGACTCCTGCTTTGGGCAGGGAGGGTTGGACTAGAAGACCACAACTCTTGCTATTCTGTGATTGGTCCCTTGTAAATCTGTGATTCTAGGAATTTATATTCTCATATATACAGGTAGTCCTCGACCTATGACTACAATTGAGTCCAAAATTTCTGTTAAGTGAGACATTTCTTAAGTGAGTTTTGCCCCATTTTACGACCTTTTTTCCACAGTTGCTGAGTGAATCACTGCAGTTGATGAGTGAATCACGCGGGTGTTAAGTGAATCTGGCTTCCCCCATTGACTTTGCTTGTCAGAAGGAAGGCTGAAAAGGGGAATCACGTGACCCTGGGACACAGCAACGGTCATAAGTATGAGCCGGTTGCCAAGCATCTGAGTTTTGATCACATGACCATGGGGAGGCTGCAAAGGTCGTAATTGAAAAACGGTCATAAATCAACTTTTTTTCATTGCCGTTGTAACTTTGAACGGTCGCTAAATGAACTAGTGTAAGTCAAGGACTCCCTGAAGAAGCATAGAATATGTATCCTGGAACGCAGCACATTGAAGCCTGGAAGTAATAGTTTTACAAGACCTTTTGGAAGAAACTATAATATTAATGTACAAATTAACATATTTTAGGGCATTAGCTGGTTTTAAAATCAATGGCAAATGGACAAAGAAGTTGACCAAAATATGAAAATGGAAGACCAAAGAGAATTAATGGGAAAAAGTGATCTAAAAGAAATGAGAGAAAAGTAAAAATAATTATGATAAGGCATGGAATTAAATAAAGAACGATGTGTTAAGATGGGGAAAAATAACAATTGTTGTTGGGTACAATTTCCATAATTAAAAATGACTATATTACCTAGACTGATGTTTCTATTTTAAACAATACTTATCTAGACAACGGGTGCACCACTAAAGAAATGGCAGGAAGATATAGCTAAGCTTATATGGCAGGAGAAAAACCAAAAAGTTTAATTGGAAACTCTTCAACAGAAAAGAGAAAGATAATAATAATAACAAGAAGAGGAAGAGGAGGAAGATTACAATTGTTGTTGGGTACAATTTCCATAATTAAAAATGACTACATTACCTAGAGACTGATGTTTCTGTTTTAAACAATGCCTATCTGAACAACAGGTACACCACTAAAGAAATGGCAGGAAGATATAGCTAAGCTTATATGGCAGGAGAAAATACAAGAGTTTAATTGAAAACTCTTCAAGAGAAAAGATAACAGTAATTAATAGTAGTCGGAGTAGTAGTAGTAGTAGCAGCAGCGGCAGCAGTAGGAAAGGACCTTGGAGGTCAGGCAGGAAACCTGCTCAGGCAGTAAACCCTATACTATTTCGGACAAATGCCTGTCCAGTCTCTTCTTAAAAACTTCCAGTGTTGGAGCATTCACCACTTCTGGAGGCAGGTTGTTCCACTGGTTAATTGTTCTAACTGTCAGGAAGTTTCTCCTTAGTTCTAGGTTGCTTCTCTCCTTGGGTAGTTTCCATCCGTTGCTTCTTGTCCTGCCTTCAGGCGCCTTGGAAAATAGCTTCTCCCTCTTCTTTGTTGCAGTGCCTGAGATATTGGAACACGGCTATCATGTCCCCCCTCGTCCTTCTCTTCGTTAAACTAGACAATTCCAGCAACCATTCTTTATGTTTTAGCCTCCAGTCCCCTAATCATCTTTGTTGCTCTTCTCTGTACTCTTTGTAGAGGCTCAATATCTTTTTTACATCGTGGTGATCAAAATTGGATGCAGTATTCCAAGTGTGTATGTATGTAATGTATACATAAATACCATCTGTATCCAGAAAAACCCTCAGGGCAGTGGCAATTTGCACCTCTTGTTTTGTGGAAGGTTCCAGAAATGGGAGGTCCCCACCAAGAAGGCCCTGTGTGGTGGAAACACCCATGAAAAAGGAGCTGCTTTCCAGCTTAAGCAGCAATTCCCAAACAACTCATCAGAAAGCCAACACATCTGTTTCTCTGAGGTTTTCAACTTTGGCAACTTTCAGATGTGTGGACTTCAATTCCCAGCATGCTCCTTGGGGAATTCTGGGGATTGTAGTCCACACATCTTAAAAGTTACCAAGATTAAAAAAAAACTGGTTTCTAAGAAGAGAACCCCCCTTGCCCCACCCAATTCTTTCCAACTGAGTGTGGCCTGTTATGCCGCAGAAGGGCCTTTCCCAATCTGGTGTTCTGCCAATGTGGGATTCAAAGTCGCAAACATCTGGAGGACAGCAGCTGGGGCAAGGTGGCCAGAGGGGATCTCCTGGCTCTCATTGGACTGAGCTGCTTTAACTCCTGCTTTGCCTTCCGGTTCTTCCTTAAACCCGGGTGCTGCTCTAAATGCTCCTAATTGTTTTTGTATCTCAAGAAGATAAATATTTCGGACTGCAGAGTAAATAAAACTACACAGCAGCTTAATGTTGTGATTCTTGGGTTGTGGGTCCAGGGATTGTCTTGCCACAAGGAGGCTTGCTTGTTGTTAATTGCGAAGTCGTGTCCGACCCATCGCGACCCATGGACAATGTTCCTCCAGGTCTTCCTGTCCTCTACCATCTTCTGGAGTCTATTTAAGTTCACACCTACTGCTTCAGTGACTCCGTCCAGCCATCTCATTCTCTGTCGTCCCCTTCTTCTATTGCCCTCAATCTTTCCCAGCATCAGGCCCCTCTCCAGTGAGTCCTTCCTTCTCATTAGGTGGCCAAAGTATTTGAGTTTCAACTTCAGGATCTGGCCTTCTAAAGAGCAGTCGGGGTTGATCTCTTCTAGGACTGACCGGTTTGAACGCCTTGCAGTCCAAGGGACTCGCAGGAGTCTTCTCCAACACCATAGTTCAAAGCCCTCAATTCTTTTGCGCTCAGCCTTTCTTATGGTCCAACTTTCACAGCCATACATTGCAACTGGGAAAACCATGGCCTGGACTATACGCACTTTGTTGGCAGGGTGATGTCTCTGCTTTTTAGTATGCTGTCTAGATTTGCCATAGCTTTCCTCCCCAGGAGCAAGCGTCTTTTAATTTCTTGGCTGCAGTCCCCATCTGAGGTGATCTTTGAGCCCAGAAAAATAAAATCTGTGACTACTTCCATTTCTTCCCCATCTATTTGCCAGGAATTGAGAGGGCCGGATGCCATGATTTTGGTTTTCTTAATGTTGAGTTTCAGGCCTACTTTTGCACTCTCCTTCTTCACCCGCATCAAGAGGCTCTTTAGTTCCTCTTCACTTTCTGCCTTTAGAGTGGTATCATTTGCATATCTTAGGTTGTTGATATTTCTCCCGGCAATCTTAATTCCAACTTTTGATTCATCTAGCTCTGCCTTTCTCATGATGTGCTCTGCATATAAGTTAAATAGGCAGGGCGACAGTATACAGCCTTGCCGGACTCCTTTTCCAATTTTGAACCAATCAGTGGTTCCGTGTTCGGTTCTCACTGTTGCTTCTTGACCCGCATATAGGTTTCTCAAGAGACAAATGAGATGGTCTGGTACTCCCATCTCTTTAAGAACTTGCCACAATTTGTTGTGATCCACACAATCAAAGGCTTTTGCATAGTCAATGAAGCAGAAGTAGATGTTTTTCTGGAACTCCTTAGCTTTCTCCATGATCCAGCGTATGTTGGCAATTTGATCTCTAGTTCCTCTGCCTCTTCGAAATCCTGCCTGTACTTCTGGTAGTTCTCGATCTACATACTGCTGGAGTCTAGCTTGTAGGATTTTAAGCATAACTTTACTAGCATGTGAAATGAGTGCAATGGTGCGATAGTTTGAACGTTCTTTGGCATTGCCTTTCTTTGGAATTGGAATGTAGACTGACCTTTTCCAATCCTGTGGCCACTGTTGAGTTTTCCAAATTTGCTGGCAAATTGAGTGTAGCACTTTTACTGCATCGTCTTTTAAGATTTTGAATAGCTCAGCTGGAATACTGTCACCTCCACTAGCTTTGTTGTTGCTCAGATTTTCTAAGGCCCATTTCACTTCACATTCTAGGATGTCTGGTTCGAGGTCAGTGACCATCTCACTGTGGTTATCTGGGATGTTAAGCTCATTCTTGTATAGTTCTTCTGTGTAGTTTTGCCATCTCTTCTTAATCTCTTCTGCCTCTGTTAGGTCTCTGCCATTTTGGTCCTTTATCATGCCCATCTTTGCATGAAACGTTCCCTTCATATCTCCAATTTTCTTGAAGAGATCTCTGGTCCTCCCTATTCTGTTGTTTTCTTCTATTTCTTTGCACTGTTCATTTAAGAAGGCATTCTTATCTCTTCTAGCTACTCTCTGGAATTCTGCATTCAATTGGGTGTATCTTTCTCTTTCTCTTTCTCCTTGCCTTTCGCTTCCCTTCTTTCCTCAGCTATTTGCAAAGCTTCCTCAGACAGCCATTTTGCTTTCTTGCATTTCTTTTTCTTTGGGATGGTTTTAGTTGCTACCTCTTGTACAATGTTGCGAACTTCCATCCATAGTTCTTCAGGCACTCTGTCT